CTCGTAGAAATCATCAGCCCGAGATCCTTGTAAAAGGGCAGGGTGAAAGAGTGCAACGAAATTCATGTGAAAACCAAAGACGAAAATCTCTACAATCCGATGTCAGAGTAGACTAGCATTAACTAAGAAGTATTTCTCTCTGCGAGATTGAGCCCACACTCTCATCAACCGAGAGGGATTCCTCTCGGCTGCTGAGAGTCCGGCGCCGACTTGCCACCTCCCTGGGGGTTTTTGAAGATCGACTCCCAAAAACCCCCGGGTTTTTTATTATTTTTATCTTTTATTTTTATTTTTTTTGGGGATGATCGACTCCCAAACCTGTTGAAGGTTTGGGAGGTCCGACTTCCATCTCCGGGGGTGGACGGCCTGCGGACCGTCCGCAGGGGGTCTTAGTGACGTCCCAAATATTTGGGAGTCGGAACTCCAATATTTGGGAGTCGTTTAACTAAGACCCTAAAACAATGTGATCACAGTGATTAGTAGCGAGCAATGTGAGTGTACTTCTACTTAAATACTTATGTTTTTCCTTACTTGTTGCTCTTTTTCACTTTTTTTTTCTCGGTCGATTGGTCTCTCTCTAGTTATGAGTAATTTTTTCATATACTGTACATTCAGTTTGAGGGTATAGCATTATAATTCAACGGCCAATTGGCCAATTAAAATTTTAATGGACTGAAAGCAAAAACATTAAAGGTCCGATAAAAATACAAAAAATGACTGTTTTCAAAAAAAGAAAGAAAAAAACAAATGGTGACGGGAGAAAATTGAACCAACAGAATTGTAGATGGGATGCCAGCGCTCAGCTGGGATAGGGTAGTGAGAGCGAGACATCAAACGTCAAATTCAAAACTTGAAACAAAAAAATTCTATGCTTATTTCTGAAGAGCTCTTGCACGGGCTCCTCACTCTTGGTCATAAGCCTCGCTTGCACCTCACGCCTATGGGTGCTTGCAGGCTTAGTTACGCTCAAAAACTACAGGTTTGGCGGGCTGTTTTGAGGGCCGCTACACTAACATTAGTGGGCTGTTTAGCGTAGGGCCCAGTGTTGATACAAAATGAAAAGATTGAAAAAGAGGGGGGGTACCTTGTTGGAGCATCTCCATTGCCATATGTTTCAGTGCAATTTTTGATTGTGTGGAGCTCACTAGGCATTCCCCTGAACCCGACGGGCAAAGCCCACTGAAGCTACACAAATTTAACTTTGATTTTCCCTCACATTCACTCTCCTCCACTCCAAAGTATCCCACTTTTTTGAATGCTTGGTCATTTCTTTATCATTTTTCATCTTCGACAAATGATGAAACTCAAGATTTTAGGCACGGGAAGGATTGGATCCTTATCTGAAGCAACAAAGTTATAGGCTATTGCAACAGGGATGTGAAGGAGATGAAACAAGTGAAATGTGAGTTGTGAGAGAGAGGAAGAATATAGAGAGACAAGGATGATGTGAAGTTGCAACAACAAAAACTAAATTTTCCTTTTTATTCAACTCCATTTATCCAGCTGTACTTGTTGGTTGTGTTTAATGCTTGATTCAATCTTCTTCTTGTATCAACTTGTAAGTATCTGGGTTTCTCTTATCCCTATTGATCTCACAAGTTGTCTGCTCACTTTCTTTTGTTCCTGTTTCCTGTTGTCCTGTCTAGTCCTGTCACCTGTAATTTCCTGTCTGACCAAATGGTCTATCCTGCCCTGTCCTGTCACAACAGTGGGCTGATAGCAATGCCCATACTGGTACCTCATTATGAAGTAACAAAAAAATGTCACTTTACATGCCTGTGGGTGCATCAACTCTTCAGGTGGTTAATATTAATAACATTGAGGGCTGGAAAAAAGCCCTTGATAATAGCCAATACAGGCTTTTTTTGGCTGATACAGCCTGTAACACATCATAAAACATTGAAAAGTATCAAAATAGTCATCCTTTTTTCATAAAAATAAAGTTGGCCAATATGTTACATATATGGGGTCATATATCATAACATGAACTATTGGCCCACTGTTTCCTATCATGTTCTGTTCTTTTTCATTGTCCTTTCCCGTTCTCATTTTTCCAGCCCCCTTTGGATCTTGCTGAGGGGGCTCTCTGGTGGTTACTACTTAAGTGAATGGGAAGGGTTACTACTTAAGTGAATGGGAAGTAGCCTACTTGACACTATTGCCACAAATTATTGTGGAAACCAAGAAGCTGTATCAAAAAAGGCAGTTTGAGGGGTGCATGAAGAGCTGGCCAAGTAACCCATTGAGAGAAAACAAAATGGATCTGGAACACATTTACAGAATTTTACTTCCACTCACTTTTGACCTAACAGGGTGGATAGAAGACCATCTCAGATTCTTAATGGCATGACTTACTGAATTTAAAGAAGGAAAATTTACTCACAAGTGAGATCCACCAATTCAACAACATGGGTAGAGGTATATTGAGCATAAAATTGATTAAAAGTACTCATGAAAGTCATCAAATGATTTGTCATTTGATCCCTGAGCCAAATGTATTTGCCATGGAGCTTTGGGTCAAGTTTTTCCGGTGTTTTAAGGCTCAATCCTCTGAGGATTATTTTTGTACTTTTTGGTGGTAGTCAATGATGGAATGCAGGAGTGGATTTGTGGGTGAATCATTTGATGTTGAATTTACTGCACCATTTGGTGTTGAAATCTTTGAAACAGTTGTACTTTTTTCTTGTTCATTTTTGCCAGAATTTTCTTTGTCATCTCCAGGTTATTGAAATGTGTTCTGGTTAGGGTTGTTGAAATCTTCAGGATACGGAACACTCTGTGATGCTTCCTCAAGGCAATCTGATTCAATTAATAGTTGGTCAACTTTGGATCCATTGAGAGGTTTCTTCTGAAGCTGGTCAAAAAAACAAGAGCAATGCCAGGCCATTACAATTTGGATTGATTGAAAATAATTTTAGGGACTCAGAAAAACGACTCCCGTTTTTTCGCCAACGACTCCCAACGACCGTCAGCGGATGTCCGTTGGGAGTCGTCTTCTAAGGTGTGGGCGGATTCTGGGAGTCGTCCGCCCAATTTCAATTTCAATTTTTTTTTTTTTTTTTTTTGGGAGTCGACTCCCCAAACCACCCCTCATGTATGAGGGAGTTTGGGAGTCGCTCCCTCCCACTTGACCGGAAGGAACCCCTTCCGGTCAATAAGGTTTAGCTTCCTCATCGACCGGAGGAGAGTCCTTCCGGTCGATGAAGCCCTCGCTTCGAACCCTCCAACCTCATCGACTGGAAGGGATTCCTTCCTGTCGATGAGGTACAGCTTCCTCATTGATTGGAAGGGATTCCTTCCAGTTGATGAGGACTCTCCTTTGGTCAATGAGGAAGCTAAACCTCATCAACCGGAAGATTTCCTTCCGTTTGATGAGTTCAATCTTCCTCATCAACCGGAAGGGATGCCTTCCGGTCAATGAGGGATATCTCCCTCATTGACCGGAAGGAATCCCTTCCGGTCAATGAGGTTTAGCTTCCTCACTGACCGGAAGGGGTTCCTTCCGGTCAAATGGGAGCGACTCCCAAACCCCCTCACACATGAGGGGTGGTTTGGGGAGTCGACTCCCAAAAAAAAATGAAAAAAAATAAAAAAAATTGAAATTGAAATTGGGTGGACGACTCCCAGAATCCGCCCGCACTTTAGAAGACGACTCCCAACGGACGTCCGCTGACGGTCGTTGGGAGTCGTTGGCGAAAAAACGGGAGTCGTTTTTCCCAAGCCCTAATTTTATTCAAATTGATTATTCATATAATGGATGTCTCAGGCAAGAAAAGTTGGCTGGCCATTCAAGTAGAGTGAAACCCTCCTTCCCATCTGCACCATCAGTCAGGCAGGCTTTCTTTACCCTGGAGGATTTTTTCTGCCCCTGCACAAAATGAGATCAGTCACAAAATGAGATCAGGTAGAGTCTGGTCATTATAACTAGACACATTTTCCCAAATCAAAATCAATATTCTATGGTTGTATTCTGGCTTGCATGTGACCCAATCAACTGAAAACCTCAAAGATTTAGTAATTTGAATTTGAAAGTTCAAGAAAATTCATTGGAAATAAAAGCAATAATAATTTTGGATGTGTTGAATTGAAAAAACCAGATCCAATTATGTTTTGCTAATGCTTGCAATTCTAGTTTCCTATTGTCCTGGGAAAGCACTGGTTTTCAAGATACAACTTGTGGTTGGTTTTCATTCACCCCAATTGTAATTTTGAAAAAAACCATTACTACCTGTATGGTGTTGCAAGCCAGTCTGGGCACACACCAAATTGTCAATCACCCTTGACTGACCCTAAAGCCCACTTAGCCAAGCTCAAACTTTGTGTGGCATTGTTTCAACCCCAACTTGGCACCTGTCAAAGTTGGATGGTTTTGGGACACCGACAAAGCCTCCTTTGGCCGAAATCAAGCAAGGGTGCCACACCTGCCAACATGCCGGCCATCAAGAAGGAATCCCTTCCTGATGGCTGGGTCACTACAACACGTTCCATCACTCTCCTTGAAAACAATTCTGTATCATGTATATATACCAAGGGTTGAGACAGGTGTGTATCCCCCCCCCCCCCCTTTGGCCCAGCAGGACTTGGCTATGTGCCAATTCATACCCCCTGTCTATCCTATCCAATCAAGCCCTGTGGGCACAATCCAAACCCCTGGTGGCACTCAGCCACACAGGACTTGAGATTGTGCCCAGACTGGCTTTCAACGCCATATGTGACCAAGGCTGATACACCATATGTGACCAAGGCTGATACACCATATCACATCAGAGTGTAGGGGGTATCAAATATAGGAAATCCACCATTAGAAACCAGTCAATTATCCAATTTTTTTTTTTCACCAATGGGTCCCCAAAGACGCAAGATGAAAAACCAGCATGTTTGAATCATGGTGGGTTTTTTCAAAACCAGTTGATTAAATAAGGGTGGATTTGCTTATATTTGATACCCGCCATTGGTTGCAGTAGATAGGAAACACAAAAATTTCTTTGGAGAGCCAATGCATTGAGACATCATAAAAGGGGGGGCATATCAATCACTGAGGCGGACTCCAAACATTAATGGCATACAAAAAGAAGACCAAGAAACAAAGGCAAGTCTTGGGCAGAAAATGATAGAAAATAACCCATTCATTGTAATAGTATATTCATATGGAAGAAAAAAAACGGGGGACTGTAACTTTAAGTATGAGAGATTTTGTATCAGTATGTGAAAGACAAACAAAGTTAGAACAATGTACTGTTGAGGCTATGAAAGAGGAAGAAACAAACTGATCTCCTGGACAGCTGTTTTTTTTTTTTCTTCTTTTTTTTTGGGGGGGGGCATTTTCTTGGGGGTTTTTTTTGGCATGAATGAGATCATGATTATCCACACACACACACACAAACACGCAAATGACACACACCCAAACTCTAAATCAGATATGTATATAGGTATACCTAAAAAAAATATGTATTTTGAGACAAATGGAAGAGAGAGAGAAAGAACGCACATAAATGGACGTATTTTGTTATTTTGTGATTTATTTATTTTTATTACACAAGCACAACTAAATAGACATAGCTCAAAACATATATCAACAGAGAGAGAGAGAGAGAGAGAGAGAGGGATACGGAAGAGTTGACTAAATTAAAAAAAAGGGGGGAAAGAAGAAGGAGATCAAAAACAGTGGGGCCCAAAATCACAGAAAAGGGAAAAAAAAGTGTGAGAAGAAGGAAGGAAAAGAGAAGAAAATAAGGAAGATTAGATATATATATATGTATGTATGTATGTGTTGGTTTATTGGTTAAGTTAAATTTATGTTGATATGCATTTATAATATTGATTGAAGACAATTTCAGAATTGATATTAATTAAATATTGATGTATGTAATATGTATGTTATATATATATATATATATATGTATAAGAGAATTTTTATTGATTTTAGATGTATGTATTGAAGAAAATGGATTTTTGGACTAGCAAGTTGAATTATATGAACTACCACTACCGCAACTCCCCTGAAATCCAGACTCCAGACTCCAAATCTTCCAACATATACCTCTTACCTGACTTAACACACACACACAAACTGACTGGTTCTCTATTTCCCCTCATATAAAGAAAAAAGTGAAAAAACAGTTAAGAGTACCAAGAAGAAATAGGCTCAAAAAGAGAGGGGAGCAGAGAGAAGATAGAGAGGGAGCAGGGAGTGAAACCTTAAGTTTGATGAGGATGGTTAAGGAGCTGCTCGTCGTCGCGATTGAGCGAGACGTATCTGAGGGCCAGGAAGTCCGAAGACCTAGAGACGAGCCCGTTCCTAGTCTTCTCATTGGGCAAATAATCCGGCCTTTGGTTGTTCTGATGATGATTAAGAATCGGGTGGTGATTGAGAAGTTGTTCTTGATGATGATGATGAGGGGGGAAGTTAGAAGAATGAGGGAGATGATGATGTTGATTGTCGAGGGAGAAATCGGGAGGTTGAATAGGCGTGGTCGTGTTCGAGAAGATCGAGGAAGTAGAGGATCGGAGATGAGGGGTTGGACGTAGGTTGGTAGAATTGGAGAGGGAGTTATTGTTGGCCAGTGAGCCGCCAGAAGACGAGCGACGTTTGGAAGAAGAAGAAGAAGCAAGATTGATGGTTGAGAGTTTGTGAAAGATCTTGGACGATTTACTAAGCACTCTACGGATGCTAGGAGATTTATCAGTCGTATTACTAGTCGCAGTGGAGTGAGAATAGACCCCGCTGTTCTGGAGGCCAGTGACGGGCTCAGTGGCAGGTGGGTCGAGAGTCGAGGCACGTTTGGGTGGCCGTTGGTCATCGTCTTCTTCATGAGTGGTGGCGAGCTCGTTGAAGAGACTAGTCGTGCCGAGGGAGCGGACCCGATGACGAGTCTGGTTCTGATGGGTGGGCGTCTCGAGTTCCTCAGCAAGTGAGTCAAAGAGGGGGTCGTTAGTGGAGGAGATATAGGGGGACTGGACCACCGTGCCGTGATTGAGGGGCATCTTAGCACCGGGCGAGGGGGGCAGAAATTGCTGAGAAACCGGAGAGCTCAGGCTTGAGTCTAGACCGCCCATGGTGGCCGTGGATGAAGACTGGGGTCGGAAGCTTCCGAAGTTACGGCCGTTGGTCAGTGGCAACGATAGCGTCGACCGGTTCCGTCGGTGATTCTGTTGCTCTCGGGCCAACACTGACAACGGTGGGGGAGGAGCAAGCGGTTCATTATCTGCATTCGCATTCTCGGCTGCTCGGCCACGCAATTGGGTGCTGGTGCCAAGTGGACTAGGTGCACCGATCTGGTCGATCGAGCATGACCGTTGGCGAGTCAGACCTAGCTTCATCCATAGCCCTTTGAGCGTGTACCGATGTTTCTTCTTGTTGTCTTTCTTCAGCGTATCCGCCCGCTCGTCGGCCAGACCGACGAACCGCGAGGCCGTGGGGCTCGACGTCAACGAGCCTAACGAGGGTTTGTTGGTGTATCCTTGGGTGTGGCTGATCGGTGCCGAACCCAAGGACTGCTCAAAGTTGAGCATCGATCGATTCTTGGGCATAGGATGGCCGATGTGGGGGGTCCCAAATGAGCCCGGTGGGTGGTGACGATCTTGGGAGAGACCGACGTGCATGTCAATCATCGAACCCGAGGGCGCGAGCGAAAGGACCGAGTTCGATGCACTCCGTCGGTTCCGGCCCCAGGAGGAAAATGGTCTCATGCTTTCTCCAAACCCGCCACTCTTCCGACTCGCAAAGCTGAACCGGTGGGGGGAAGGAGGCCGAGTGGATGGCGTGCCGGGGTGGCTGGCAGGTCCTCGATCCACACCCGTGCTCGTATTTAGCGATTCGGCGTTGAGGGTAAGCGAGTTGATATTCATCATGCTCGATCTGGGTGACTGGCCAATCCCATTCAGCACAGCAGAGGAAGATGAAGACATCCTGCGGCTTGAAGCTGTTTTGGATAATCAGGGCAGGGGTTGAGAGTGTTAATGAATGAGAAAATTGGAGTGTAAGTAACAGGGGGTGTACTGACTTGATAAACCGAGTTTGGTGTCATTAGTCCGATACTTTGCGGCTTCTTTCTCATCTTTGGAGACGTCCAACGTTTCTAGTATCATTCCGTTAGACAAGAGAGTGGTACTGGAAGCCCTGTGGGTGATCTTGCCCCGAGGGACGGTGTGAAGGAATTGATAATCCGGTCGAGGATGATCGGTTGAGTGACGGAGGGAGGTAGATTGGACAAGGCTATCAGTATTGCTCCGGATCAACTCTTCCGTTCGCTCGTTCTCTAGGTCGATCGACCGCTTAGCTCGTCGTTCCAGTTCGAGGTAATGACGTTGTTCCTTGAGGTACAGTTGCAAGGTGCGCCAGCGGTGACTAGAGGCAGGTGGATTCTGGAAAGTGGAGGAGATGGTAATTAGCTCCTGGGTATAAACATTTTTGTTTTAGAAAAAAAGAAAGGAGACGTACCATTTGAGTCCAGGCCTTGAGAGCAGACATGGTCAGCGGTTGACCCTTACCAATTGGTTTTCTGCGAGAGCGAGATTTTTGGGAGGGGAGTGAAGTTTCACGAGAAGAGCTAGTCCGACCGTTAGGGGCGGTGGGAGGGTTTCTCCTATTGATGTGGGCCGAGGAACTACCATCTTCAAGGAGGTCGTCCATGGTTCGGCTGGAGACGGTTTGATGGACCGATGAGTCTTGATCGCACTCAGTCAAGTCCTCATCCTCCATCGCCGCTTCGGCACGCAAGGCTTCTTCAAAGTCAGCATCACTCTTCCTGGCCCAAACTCCAGGGCCGACAACGTCGATCCCGATCATGTCTCGGTCTCTCATCATGCATTCCAAACAGACCTCAGCCGGTGGAGGCGGGATGACTTTTTTGGGAGAAGGCATGGCCGGAGTGACGTTAGAGTATCCAGAAATCATCACAGCATTTGGGGTGCGCACACCGGCGGCTAGAGGTTGTACACGAGACACATGGCGATCGTAGAGCTCGTATGCATGCGCATAACGTAAACCAGGGGCTGGAGAGCTACGAGGGGCAGGCTGCTGGTTGGTAGAACTAGGAGAGGATCTGGGGTTCTTGACAGATTCGGTAGGATTGGTGGTAACCAAACCTAGTGTGTTGGTAGACTGAGTGGATCGAGGGGGGTCAGGTTTATTGGATGAGGACAAGTCTTTGGAGCGTCTGCTATCTGTGGTACCATTTTGCTGAATTTCTGAAAATGGAAAAGGGCATGAGAAAACAAAAAAAAAAAACTTTTCAAGTCAGATAAGGTTTGGTGGGAAGGAGACGCATAGCCGGGACGTACGATGGTTGGATTGGTGGGACTTGTTGGGATGAAATCCGGGTGAGTTTGTGAGTAGAAATGGGTAGGTGAAGGATGAGCCTTGGTCAGTCGGTTGCTGTTGGTCTGGAGCAGGAGTAGATGGAGCGTGGGAGAGTTCGTTGGGAGTGATTGGGTGGTTTGGTTTATAGTTTGAGAAGGAGCCTATTCCAGTCAGGGATCCTTCCTCCTCGGAGCCAGCCGTGGGCTTGTCGGCCTGGTCGTTCTTAATATTATCCTTGTCATTATCGTTGGGCCTGTTGTGAGGACTGGGTTGAGGGGGTTGAGTGGATTGCTTGAGGTTTGAGTTGGAGACAGATGAGGCTGCTGCTGATGCTGATGATGATGCTGATGCTGATGATGGTGAGGAGGATGGAGTGGTATGGGATGGGTTTTGGTTGGTATCTGGTTGATTCTGGGTGGCCATCGTAGGCGTAGCAGTGCTCGTCGAGCTGAGCTGTCGGTCTGGTGATTGCCTTGATGGGGTTGGGTAGGTTGACCAGTTCTTGTTGAAGTTGAAGGAGGGTGTGGTGTGGTTCTGTTGGAATGAGGGTGGTGTGTGGTTATTGGTGTTGATGAGGTTCTCGTCTGCTACCCATAGTTCCCAGCCCGACTTTGAGTGGTCGACCTTCTCGGTGAGTGTAGTAGTCGGTGGTTCGTATGGGTTCAGATACTGTTGTAATTTATTGTTGTTGTTGTTAGTCGGTTGTTCTTGGTTGTTGGTTGCTGGAGTGTTTGATGGTTGCTGTTGTTGGTTGGTTTGAGTCATCTTGTTGGTTTGTGTTGGGTTTTTTGTTTTTTGTTTTCTTTTTTTTTTTTCACAGCAGCTCGTTTTGATTTTCAGTTGAAGTTGACAGCACCTGTCACAGCAGGTAGTCTATTTCAAACCTTACTCCAATTCAGCTGTCACAGACAATCACTTGACTGAAAAACACTCACATACACAAGAAGATCCCTGCAATATTTGGACCCCATCTCAATTCAGATCCTTTTCAAGGGGCTGCAATCTGCTTCTGCAACCCCTGGAGGAACAGCTTCACTGATTATAGGCCAGTGTCATGATACACATATACATACATATCCCTCCCCCCTTGGACTGTTTCACAGGATCAACATAATGTGGGCTTGCAAGCAAGGGGGAATTCATCTCACTGTTTTGGTGTCATACAATATGTTTTGGCCTTGTTATCTACAAGAAGTGAGCTCATGAGAAGCTAAAAATCCAATTCTGAACTCAACTGCATACATAATCACTGAACCTGTGGTTTTTATACTTTCTTTACTCAGCTTCAATCTACATCAAGTTCATTTTTTTTGAAGGATTAAAAATTTGAATGTACTAATTGTTGTTGATGACAAAAACCTCAGAAATCTGTGCAGCTTATCAAAATTATTAAAATTGACTCTTGCAAAAATTTATGAAAATTTCAATCATGAAACCCTGTTGTTTTTTTTGATCAGGATGAGAGTTCAATGTTTCATACAATCCAGAGAGAGTTAAATTAAAAACAAGGGGGTCAATCACCATACTTTTCACCATCAGAAATGTTTATGATTTCAGGACTTAGGCCACATCCGCTAAGCGCTCCTGTCTCCCCCAAAGAAAAAAAAAAAGAACTCAACCCAACCTCACACCAACTCAGACCACAGCCACCACTGCAAGAATAACCACCCAAAATAATAACATGGATCTTAAGCCATCCACTTGCACTAGATCAGACAATCATCACACCCTCAATCAGCACAAATGGACAAAAATATGACAGGAAACAATCAGCGGGCTCAAAGTTGATTTTTTGAACAACATTCTACCCAAAGTCACAAAGTTCACAGAATTTTTGAGGTATGTTCCAAATAAGGAGGAATGCAAAGTTTCAGAAAACTGGAGTTTTGAACCTCTATGAGAAAAAACAGGAAGAAATACAGCAAGCAAGAAAGAAAGAAGGTAAACAAGGAAATTTACATGTTCATAAAAGGTTATTTAAACTCTCAGATGTCTTTGTATTTAGTCACAACATCCATAATAAACTTGGAGTAATCTAGATCGCAAGTAAATTGCTGATTCCAGAGTATTGGATGCTCATTCTTCAACCAATAAGCCAAAAGAATCAAAGAAGCTTCATGATATTTGAAGTGATTATTGGTTTTACATAAGCTATTGATAATCAAAGTTTGAGCCTCATCAAATTTCAATTGAGTCTGATTATGAGTATGAAATATTGATTTGGGAATTGTTCCAATTATTGGGATTATTGATGATTGGTTGGGACCATAAAGTTTCCTGGAAAACCATTCTAGGAAGCTTGTGTGATTGATTCCTTCTGGATGTTCCTGCTGATTGGAAAAAATCTTGCCAAGTATTAAGGATGAATAACATTCTAAACTATTGACGAAATGATGGAGGCCTATCTTCCAATTTGAACCATCAACAAATTTAGTCAGATCTGCTGATAAGAGTCTCACACCAAACTTATTTTCCTCGGCTCTATGATTTGTCAATACCATTCTTGGATGAGAGGTTTGTTGATGGACTTGTGATCCGGATGGCATTTCTCGCAATCTTGGGTAGAAGCTTTCAAGGATTGAAATCGAAACATCCTCCTTTGCTGTAGGAACTTTGGGACATACAGTGTCAGACATCCATGTCAACAACCGGTTCTTATTTCTAATCTTTTTTTGGGATTCAAGTATGATGTCAAATAGGGCAAAGTTTCCAATCTCAAACACTTGATTTATTTTCTTTATATTTGGATCTTGTTGGGTTCTGACAGGCTTTGGTAAGATATGTTTGTATTTTCTATCATTTGAATTCTTTCCAGACTGTTGGATACTTGAATCATAGTTCAATGATCTTGAACTGCTTCCATCACCACTACCTGGTCTGAGGGCAGCCAGATATCTTTCTAGTAAAATGGGTATTCTAGCCCAAAAATAATCATCAATCTTGAAGCTTTCTGTCCATTTTGGGCAAGTCTCTTTGAACCAAGTTCCAGCAATCACAAGGGAGACATTCAAAAGAGAAGTGGGATCTTGCAGAAGCTTGAGTATCCAAATCTGGATCGCCCCAAATTCACCATCATGAACTCCATTGAGACTTGTCTCACCTAACACAGGAAGGCTTCTTTTAGGATTGAAAACTTCTCCAAAGAGCCAGAGCACTAGTTTCTGGTAGTCTTGTTCGTGGTCATCATGACCAAGAACATTAATCCCGTTAAGATGATTCCGTATTAAATAGTGAATGTGGGCAAGCAGATCGTTTAAATCTGCAAAGACTTTCAGCAATATATCAGGGTCATATCTTTCCCCCTGGTCATTCACAGGAATTATTAATGACACATAATATCCAGATTCGTCATTAAAAGATGTAGTCGTTGTGACTGGCCAGTTGCTTATTTTGCTCATTTCAGGAATAAGTGACGAATCATCAAACTTGGCATAGATCTGATTGATGGTATTCTCGTAATGTTTTTTGTGTTGATCAGCTAGCGGACCATGTTTCTTGTTTTGTATTTCATCGAGGAAAGACTTCAATTCCAACGTGAGGAAATTCTTATCAGATAAAATTGATGTGTGGCTCGTAGGACGATCGGGCCTTAAAATTTTCTTGAAGGCGGAGTCTAGTTGACCCGGGGAACAAAGCTGGACATGTTTCCAGAATCCAGAGTCAAAATGGGAAGGGGAAACCTCATGATGTTCCTCATGCTCTTGAACAGGCCCAACTGCAGACAGATTACTGGGTGCTTGAATAGATTTTCGGCGCTTATTGGGTTGTGTTGGATGTCCATCCCTGCCAGTACTGCCATGTGGGGCCGGGGTCATGAGACGAACATCTTGCGTCCATTCTGAACCTGGTGATTGGCCAAAGAACGCGGCCATCGGATTCAACTCAAAAGTTGCTAACTGATCCGTTTGTCCTCTTTTGATCCGTGGGCTTTCTCCGATACTGTCAGCAAGATCCTCTGCGAATTTTCCCCAGTCTCCATCCGTGGGGAATGCCGCCATTGTGACTTGGATCAAAAGCGGACACGCTAGAGGGAGGCATATCATCCTAAGAGTAAAAAGGGCTGATTGTGGGAACATGGACGGACTGTGACTGGTTGGGGACGGCAAGACAAAAGCAGCTTCATGATACCCACTTGTGTCATAGATGCACACATATTTGAATGTCGGCAAAACAATATTCGCAGCAGCTGTAGGTCTTGGGTTTATCAATCGGAAACGCCAATTGTTATAAATATGTCCCTCAACTAAACCCTTTGAGAGATTCAGCAGAGCCATACTATTCAAACTCTCAACTGGTTCATCCACAATGAAGGGCAAGTCTATAACTGAGCAAGCGCTGTTGCTTATAGAACCACATCTTATTTATTGCATTGATTAAAATATGATCAATGTCAGTTGGATTAGTTACAATATGCAAGCAAAGAAGGTCAACAAGTGATTCTCTATGAGCAAAAGGACAACCGACAGGATCAACCAACAAGCAGTAGCAGTCAGTAGCAGCAAGTGATGTGCAGTGTGGTAGTCAACGCAGGCTAGCCGGGTACAGCTTAGTTCTTCTATCAAGGATCGATCGCTGCAAGAAGTTCCCTCCAGAATGCAAAGATGGACTTCCTGCGTTGATTGAGCCCGGTGGCAGAGTTGACACAGACTACAATTTCTTTTCCAGGAAGTCTGACTCTAAACTTTTTATCCCATTCGAGCTTCACCTTTTGACTTCATCTTATGCCTTTTACAATATCAGATTGCAGTTCCTCTACATACTTTGTTTCCTCATCTATACATCGAGACATGATGTTTGTTTATTTGTTTCTTATGACTTCGCACTTTCGATGTACTCTTCCGTTTTCTCGTTTTTTTCCTGGTGTTTTTTTCCCTTTCATTTCCTGCCTTCCCGCTGTGAGTCTTTCTCCTTGCACTTACAATGTGAGTAGATAATAATTTAAGTTTCTTTTGATTTAAGTTTTTTTGAAATAGTTATCATATATCAAATATACCCCATACACATGCACATCTTATTCTTGCTAGGTCTGAATCTATGCTATTGACTAGAGGGCAACGTATGAGATACGGGCTTTCTGATGATCACATACCATATATACTTCATGCGACTTGTGTTAACCAGGAGGATTTTATCAGGTTTCGCTACAAATAGAGCTCGATGATGACAAGTCACCAACGGGAAGACAACCCACTAATGTTTTGTTAAGAGCCTGGCATTCCAATGTTGAAGAATAAAGCCAGGCATTGAAGATAGAAGGAGAAAAAAATACGTGTGTACAATCACAAAGGATAAGGCATTCATGGAAGAGTCTGAGACAACTCTGATGATCTATTATGACGAACTAGGTAACTAGCCCATGCGAAAACTGGATTACTTGCGGTACCATAGTACACCCTTTCTAGTTCTTCGCATCTTGCGTTGGAGTTGTAGTAAACCGTACATTAAAGCTTCAGCGGTAGGTGGGCAGCCGGGTACATATCTAGGAGTCGAAATTACAAAAAGAGAGAGCCTATGATGAGTCGATCGAGTTCCATGATGATATAGGATGATATGAAATCAGAAAGAGAAGAGGGGCTTACATGTCAACAGGCACGATCCGATCACAACCACGGACGACGGAGTAAGAATAATGGTAATAACCGCCACCATTGGCACAACTTCCCATGCTGATCACCCATCGAGGCTCGGGCATCTGGTCGTACACCTTACGCAAGGCTGGGGCCATCTTGTTGGTCAATGTGCCGGCAACGATCATCACATCGGATTGTCGAGGCGAGGCTCGGAAGATGATTCCGAATCGATCTTGGTCATATCGGGCGGCTGCCATGTGCATCATTTCTACCGCACAACACGCTAATCCAAACGTCTAACAGTGGAAAAAAAAACACGTTCAAAAGTTAAAATCCCACTTGGTGGCGATGCTTTCGAACTTCAGATCTAGTCATTTTATCTTTACCATAGGCCAAATCGATCCCTGTCGCGCCCAATTGACGATCTTATCAATCGTACTAATCACGTATTCAGCGCCATTTCCTGTGGATTTCAAATGATTGGAAAATGTCAGCGAACACTTTTTCCCCCAACTAAATAAAAAATATAGAGTGGGGCGAGATGTGATGACCAACTTGGAGTAGCAAGATCGAGAGAATTGCTTCCTTGCATTGCGAGTCCGAAAGCGGGCGAATAAGCAGACGTGTTGGGTACCTTGGAAGCTTTGACGACAGCGGTGGTTGAGACGGATCTAGAAGATGAATGACTGTCGTCTTTTTTGACTGAACAAATTTTTCCAAAAAAAAGGGAAGCGAGAGATGTTAGAAATCAATCATGTCCAATTTGACCGATGAGAAGAAGGAGGCCTTGATGAACATACCAAAAGGAGTGGATTTGTGATTCATGGTGGTAATCATTGCCCGAGAACCCTGGCTGGTATTACACAGTAGGTTGGGTTGGATGGAGCGGTTGAAAGGCTTCTTTGGAACGTTGAATCCGACTCTAAAGGCTGCTATATTTCAGTGATATGCAAGTCAGCAAGCGATTCCTGCTCTAGAGGGAGAAAAGAGCCACGTACAGCGGGCCAGACCGGCAAGGGCAGGTGTGGCAGACATCTGGGATGAACTGAGTATGTATTATTTTACGGTTTGCTGGATCCTCGACTGTTTTGTTGGGTTGGTTCTGAGTCGGATGTGTTTGTGGTTGCTTGTTGTTTTGGGTGGTTGGAGTTGGTCGGGTGGTCGAGGGAATGAGGCTCGGCCTGATTGGCCACAGTGAGTCGAACCCGATATAAGCATATTCCACTCAGATTTCTGCAACACAAAAAAGAAGACAAAACAACATGAGACAAAAGATACATGACTAGTGAGCTGCTAATTATTCAAGTTGAAGAGCTGTGCAGCTTCATTCATAGATAGATAAGAATATTCAGCAAATATTGGGTCACATAAGGAAAAGAGCAATATGATGAATGGTGTTATTCTCTCAAATTGATCGAGCTAATTTCTTATGACAAGAATAATGAATAACAATACTAAAGAAGTAGAAAGAATAAACTACACCTTGGTGAGAGAATTAGAGGCAAAACTAGAGTTTTATGCCAGTTAAGGAGAACAAAACAGGAACAAAACAACATGAAAAGAACATGAAGGAGCAGAGATGAGATTATGCCTAGAGGACTGTGTGGTTGAGTGCAAGAGCCAGAGATTGAGACAGACAACAAGCAAGACAGGAAAAAAAAACCCAAGGACAAGAGACTGAGGCAAAATTAATCAGTAATGATGAACAAGAGAAATAAGACAGGGACAAACAAATGAGGAAGAGAATGGAAAGTGACCAACACTCTTGGACCAAGCAACAAGTGACCTGACGACAACAACAATAATGTTTGATTTAGATTGACTGATGATTGTTTGTTGGGTGTATTGGACTTTAGTGGTTCTGGGCGAGATGAGGAAGCATCTGGCTTGCCTCTCAAGAGCCCCCCTATGGGCCCTAACTTAACCAAGTCCCCCCTGGGGGGGGGCTTGCTGGTGGCAAAGGGGCTTATTTCTAAAGTTGCCCTGCTTTTATATAGAGGAAAAGGTATGGCTGAACCGTACCTTTACTTCTGTCAGCTAAATTTCTCAAGGAAAATTGTCCAACAATAAAGCAAACAGGAGTAAGATTAAATGAGAATATACCATGCTCAAGCTGACAAGCACAGTATGAGATGGGTGAGGATGGATGATGTCTTGACTTGACTCAAAAATCTATGTATTAGCCTGGTTCACATTAGCCAGTTCCAATGGCTGATCACCTTTTTAAAAGTTGCTGATAGAAAAATCTTTTTTGGATGGATCTGGAATAATCTGGGGGACTCTGGACTACACATTCAAAAATGGAGGTGTTTTTACGGATCAATGATTTGCTGATTACAGCTCAAATTTTTGCTGATGACTGGCTATTGTGAACTGGGCTATTGTGCTTTCATGAATCGTCAGAGCCTTGATTTTTTCAAAATTCTTTCAATCCTCAAAAGATTAAAATTATGTGTGATAAAATTTTTAGGGCCTTGATTGATTGACTCCCAGAAATTGGAGTTCTGACTCTCAAATTTCTGGGATGTTGAGAGGGCTGGCCGTGGACAGTCCTCAGGACATCCAACTATAAGCCAAAGAAGCGTTTGAGAAAATATATAAAACTCTTCAAACTAGAAAAACAAAAAGCTATTAATAGGGGGTATCAAATATAGGAAATCCACCATTAGAAACCAGTCAATTTTTCCAAAACTTTTTTTTGAATCAATGGGCCCCAGAAGGGGTTAAATGAATAACCAACATGTTTAAAAAAGGGTGGATTTTCTCAAACCAGTCAATTAAATGATGGTGGATTTGGTTATATTTGATACCCCCAAATTCTAACCAACCTAGTTACTTAGTGTTAAAACATTTATGGTCCCATTGGAATTTAAATTGACCGATGAGATCTTGATCTAAAAAGCCTCACCCCATATCCAAAAATAAATAAATATTTATTCTGATGATTGGTTTGTGCTAGAATAGTGGGGCCCTCTTGAATGCTAATCATTGTACATACAATCAAATGAGAAAAGCATGAGGGGAGAAAAAAGAGATAGTAGCCTACAGTGAGTAAAGACTCAATGAGTATATCCAGGACAGAGCTTTGCAGACTTACACACACAAGATAGCAACAGCTGTGATGTAAAGTTGACTCTCCCTTTACTATGATAGATCCATACCCTTGATCAGCTGGAAACACACCATCACCATAATGTGCAGCGGCTATGAACTCTTTTGGACTCAAGATCCCATGTGACCAATAGATTGGTCTCTCCAAGTAAAGCATTCAGGACTGATCAGTTCCATTCACCTTGGTGGCTCTTCATTCTGTGCTTTGTTACTCATAGTCAATGGGGCTAGGTGCATCACATCACTTAATCAATATTGAATCAAGAACATAAATCTAAGTCTAGTACCTTATGCAGTTGTTGTATATGTTGTATGTAAAACTTGCAATGGTCATACATCAATGTTGTTGGTAAAAAATTCAATTTGAAATGGAAACCCAATCAATCACACAAAAAAAAGCATCAAGGATTTACAAGTTAAATAGATCAATAAATAATCATGAGACATAAGGAAAAAAAAGGAAAATCTGCTTCAATCTCTTCCTCATTTTTTTTGGTATTTTTTTTTTCTTTGATGTTGAGAAAGAAAAAGAAAAAAAAAAAGAAAAAAAAAATCAGTAGATGGAATGTGTTGATAGTAGAAAGAAGAAAAGGGATAATAATGATAAATAATAAATATTTGAGTTTTCTACATATTGAAAGAAGAAAGCAAAACAAAAGATGATTCAAAGCAAGAGGGAGAGGGGGGGTTAAGAGTTTTAAAACAATAGTAAAAGATGAATTAAAGAGTGAATTGACCAAGGGAGATGCAAGGTACTGATAATCTGAATGATAATGATAATGATGATGATGATAGAGGAATGAATGGATGTTGAACCGATAGAGGCCAAATCAAACCAACTCATAATATGTAAGTGAAAAAACGAAGTGATACATGTGATTCACTTTCTTTCATTTTTCTTTTCCTTGTAAGAAAGGGGAAAAAAGAAGAAAGGGAAAGGGAAAAGGATGAAGGGCAATAATAATTGTTTGTGTGTAGGTGAAGAGAGTGTGCTGATGTGTGGGTGTGTGTGTAGAGAAATAATGACAGAGGATAAGGGAAAGAGTGAGAGAAGAAGGAGGAAGATGGAGTGTTTGTTTAAAAGAGCCAATTAGGGAGTACGGAAGGCCAAGCGGAGATTAAGGAAGGAGTAGGAGTATTATGAAATTGTTCAATAGCCTGAGCCGAGCAAGAGAAGCCGAGACGACCAGAATCATGGATGATCCCAATCGCGCGCCAATGCAACCAGATCGCCGCGACGATGGCCACATGCCAGAATTGATGCGAATGGAATAGGGTGTCGAAGACCCAGCCCGGACGGATCCGCTCGGGCCAGTTCGTCGCATAGAAAAATAGTCCGGCTAGGTACGAGATCACGGATGGTAAGGCTGGATCTGTATAGTTTCATCAATCAAGCATACATCATCATCAGAAAGGAAACATCAGAAACTCTTCCTATTTTTGTTCTTGATCATCCCAACAGAGAAAAAAAAAAGGAAAGGTACGAACAATAAAAGTGAAAAGTTTCACGAAGGCCATAGAGATATGCCATATGGGCTTGAGGGATCAACGCGGAGCCGGCCATAGAGACGAAGAAGACGATCCGAATCCCTTTGCTTTCGGGACGATCGAAGAAGGGTTGGAAGGGCAAGATCATCCCGATGATTCCCATGGCCACTGTGAATGACATGTATAGTCCAGCTAGGCCAGGGCAACAGTAGAATCCATAGTACTATAGACATCAAACCGTCATCAGATCGTGTGTTCATGAACTTGGGAATATGGAATTGAAGAAACTTACCTCCATGCTCATCACTGAAGCAGCAATCAGACCAGAAATCCCGACATCTAGAAGAAAACAAAAACATTCGAGTCAGATGGAAATAAAAGATAGTAGGGAAAAAGGGAGACTACGGACAATCGACACAAGCGAGTCTTCTGAACGGGCCAAGGGTACCACAGCCGGAGAAGAGATGCCAAGCGGTTGAGCAGATCAGACACTTGATAGCGCACACCAGGAAGATCAGACTGATTACTCGGTCGGTCATCGTTGAGCTGTCCGGGGCCGTGTGTGGAGTCGTTGGCCAGAGAAAGAATAACAGGTAGAAGAGCGATAAGGTCCCAAAGAAATGGGTATGGATGTTAACTGAAAGAAATAATTAATCAGCCACCTCCACCTGTATGTGAAAAAAATTGATAAACTAAAACTGAACTGGTCTCGTTGTGCCATTGGATTCCACTGAGTAATAGATGGTGCCATCTATCAAGAGGGATGAACCGATAGCCCTTGACAATAAACTGATTATTCTTCCATTCGTCAGGGAGTTCGTGATAGGTGAGCAATCTACTAGTGCCCATCTGCAAAGCGAGTCTCAACTTCTCAGTCTCCGAGTCCACCCAGCCCTTAAGTTTTTCTCCCTCTTCACGAATGAAGACTTCCCCATCATGCAAGACAGCTTGAGCTTCCTCCTTACATGCCCTCAAGGCGGAGGTGATCTGGTTCGAGGTTTGGCCGATTGACTCGCTGAGACCGGTGGGAAGACCCGGAAGTAGGGAGGCCAAGCGGTCGGATTCTTCGGAGAAGTATTGTCTCAAACTGTTGGGGCTCGGAAAAGATTTGAGGATCTCCGGGGTAATCTGATTAAACGAAAGAGCACGTTGATGACCGGAGTTTGACGAGGCTTCCGGCAAAAGGATCGGTAGGGAAGGGAAATGAGTGGGATATTGTGACAGGAAGGATAGTTGGGAGAGTAGCTCGTCCAGCTTTTGAGAGTGAAATGTCAAGCGTTCTACGAGTTGATTAGGGTCAGGGATCGACGGTAAGCATCCCGCCAGACGATCCAATGGTTGTTTGAGGTTGAAATCGGTTAAGGAAGTGTAAATGGTGGTGGAACGGCTTGCTGAGGGGGATGATGACTCGGGTAAGTTGAAGATGAGTTGATGGGTTGAGAACAGATCGATCTTGAGTTGGTGGATGTAATGAGTGACTTGTTGAACGAACGTGGTCAGGCTGGGGAGTGAGGAGAGTTGGTTGGGAGAGCGCAGAGTGACAGAGGAGACATCGAATGGAAATCGAAAGGAGAGGTCGACAGTCTTGCTAGATTTCTCGTCATTGTCTTGACCATCATCTTCCTCTTCTCTACTGAGGAGAGTGGCCTTCTCATTCTTGATCAGGAAGGACAGCAATCGATGGTAGTCATACTCTGGATTGGTAGTAGGACTAGTGGTGCTATTGCTCCTACTGCTTCTACTGCTGCTGCTATGGCTGCCGCTAGTGCTGCTGCTGCTGCTGCTGATATCACTGCTGCTACAGTGAGAGTCAGTAGTGGTGATCCTTTTCTCGGATTGGGGCTCGGTGGACTGATGATGATGATGGTTCTTTGAGTTGTTGATTAGCTTGAGACTGACTTGGACCAGTTTGAGATGGTCGTTGAGGGTGGAGTAGAGTGAGATGAGTGTGGTTGGTAGGAGTGAGATGGGTGGCAGGTCGAGTGATTGGATGGATTGCGGCTGAGAGTGATGGTAGAGTCTGAATGATAAGTTGATGATCTGTTGGTTGTGGTTGTTGTTGTTGCTGTTGATTAGGTTGAGTTGGGTTGGATGGTGTGATGATAAGCTCTTGGATCTTCTTGGTGAGACTGCTGTTGCTGTGTTCATCTTTTCGATATTCTTGTTGACCGTTCTTGTTGTCTCTCTTCTTGGTGTAATTTGGTTGAAGTTAAAAGTTCTCCTGTTGACCGTCCTCCATGCCTTGCTGCCTTTCCTTTATATATTTGGGGGGATAGTACCACTCTATCAGCACTGTCACGCAGTTATGTAGTTCATGGGGCTGTCACGCGCCCAGCTCGGTCTGAAACAGAACTTGCCAATCTGAAACAGCTGTTTCCCAAAATTACCCTATCGGTCATCGCACTCTCAAACCCACTGACCTACTGCATACGTCATCCAACCATCAACACCCAACTCGGCACATAGTCCATTAACACTTGAAGCGAGATTAATCGACTGGCTTCGATTCAAAAGAGGAAAATCCAAACCTCAATCTGATCAGTCCCTGCTCACCTTGCGGTTATCCTCACCCAAATCCATCTTCAGAAGGAAGATAACCATAATTGGTTGAGATACACAAATCATCTCCCAATTGGCTGGAGATCAGTCACAAAGACCAGAAGAAGAAACAAGCCACTAGCTTGAATCATCGACCAGGAATATGTTTCCATGTCAATAGTCACCCAGCTACAATCTCATCATTGATCCCATCGAGTTATCATGTGGCCTTATAAACAAGCCTGCGGAACGGGAGTTTGATCTCATGATCATGAAGAGAGAAAAATTTCTGCATGTGAGATAGCTGATGAATAGTCAAACTGCCTTAGTTAGAGGATGATGGCGTATAGCGCCCCTGTTACCTCTTCACTTTCATATCCTAAATAAATACTTGTCAAGGAAAGATGCCTCGCAAAGAATCGTGCACTGGTTAAGATTTGATCTGTCCAATGGTTATTCTGCTTGAAACCCGATTCAACACAAAAATACGATCGTGAATCTCTGGAACAAGTTGTCCATAGTACCTGACGTAGGAGAGGGACTGTGCTTTCCGCAGTTATGGAGGCCCATTGCTCAATGTTCACCCAGGGGGAGCGTTTTGTAAAAATCAATTCAGAGCACTACAATGAAACAAACAAAAGATTATCCCGAGCTTAACCCAAGCCTCTCTGGGGAAGGCCCCGCGGGGTCTCTGTCTCAAAGGTGGGACTGATTAAGTTCGAGATTATCCTTATTTGCGATCATCGGGTTATCCAACATTCACAAATGTCACACAGTTTTTGTTTCTAATAGAAATTGAAAACTTTGTTTGAATTTGTTAGAAGAGGAAACAAAGTGCATGTTGCACATTACAAGAAATTGTTCAGAATTTTAATGAATTGTTTGGAATGGGTTTCGGTTCTGGGCCCATTCAAATTTGTACACTTGTGAGCGGAAGCTGGGATGGAGGGGGAGTTGAAATTGTGCTCATATTTATGTATTCACAAGCGGTTAAAGTCTGACTTAATTGACTTTGGGGGTACAAGAGATGGTGGGTGGGTCCTCAGCCTAAGCAAGGATCACAAGATGACCGTGGAAGCGTTCAAGAAACATGTCAGTCTTGTGTGCGTGTGGGTGTTAATTATAAGAAGGGCATCCGAGTGATCGACTTACCGGATCATAATTGCAACACCGTGGAGAACTAGATCCCGGGCAAGTAAAGGTTTTGTTCTCTTTATCGATGATTGCTTTCGGATCTGATCGGCAAAAACAAAAATCAAAAAAACTTTTCGAGTCAGCGAATGTGCTGAGGAATAGTATTGAGCGTAGTACAAAAGCCGGGGTTATGATGAGGTCGGGCTTAAGACGATGATCATTTACAATTTGACCCTTCGGTGCAAACTGGTTGGGACAACGCTGGATTGCGGCATCGAAGTCCTTCAACTGTCATAGTGCTAGTCATGATCATGAATACCAGGGTATAAAAGATCGAGTGAACAGCTATCGTTAACTTCATGATTTAAGAAAATTCGGTCGGTTGTTGTGCAATGAGGTGGAAAGTTCTGTTGAGCCTATCAGCTGGTTATGGGCGTGCCGACACTGCATCCAAACATTCACCTCTTTATATGAGTTTTTTTTGGTCTTGACCTCGAACCAATTGGTGTGATGACAATAAGGATACATACCTGGGCTGTTTCTGTTTCACGAGGCTTAAGAAGATTGTGGATCTTCAAAAGGGTCTGCAACATGCCTCAAGGAGTCAAGCCTCAGCTGGTTGTAGGCGGGGTCCTGCAGGGTGATTGTCTGATATCATGGGGCTGAGTTAAATTTGGTGTAATAATGGATCCATCGGGTACGTTGTATCCTTTTGTCTTCGACCATTCCTGGTTGACTGCACCACCGTTGGGAAGGACGACATTACGGGATGCTGTTTCTTCAGTGGAAGTTTCATGAACAAAGGTAGCCCTACATCTCTCTAACTTTAGAGCAGTTCCACCGCAGACCCTAATTCCGGGCCGTTAAATTTTGGAATTTGGGTTTGCGAAGCTACCTTTACAGCCTCAAACCGGAGGACTTCCCGTCGGTCTGGGATCCTAGATTGAGCCTTCCTAAAGCCAGATTCCAAATGTTGTTTGCTGATGAGAAGTCAATGTCACTTGATTCTCTTCACCAAATTGAGTTTGGGATCTAGGATTAGACCTTCCAAATCAAGGGTTCCAGATCAACGGGAAGTCCTCCACTGCTGCGGCATGCACCGCGGTTTGGAGCTGAGTGGTTGGTAAATCTTCATGACATGTGAGCTGCTGAGGGTGGAGTGGTGAGTGAGTGTTGAGTTTCACAAGTTGTCATTGTGTGAAAGTGTAGTTCGGAGGCCGTAGTCCAGTCCCTAGGAGTCCCTACACCACGGGTTGATATTTTTTATTTGACCCCGTGGGCTTGACTGCGCAGTCGCAGACAGGTCAGTGCCAACCTGTCCGCCCTGAGAATCACGGCTCAATCGGGATGTGGTGGGGGATCGGACAGGCCTACGCCGGCCCAACTCACCCAATCCATTGGTCGGCCCAACTTTGCCGACATGCTTTGTCAGCAGAGCTAACATACGACGGCGTTGGCTCCAGTTGGCCATGTCTCACCCAGCCGATCCAGCCTGGCTTTCATCAGCCAGCCAACGGCGGAGGCAGGTTGGGCTCCCATCATGCCCCACCAATCATCACATAATGGCGTCATCGTTGTGCTTGCGCCTCTCCCAACTGAGGCATGGGCAACTTTAATCCGCTACAGGCTAAAGAAGAAAAAAAAAATCTCTGCACCAATGGAGCCAACCAAGCGATCGAGCACTCCCGACCCCGGACAAACGGTCATCGTAGCACCCAAGCAATCGAGCACTCCCGACGCCGCACCCAAGCGATCAAGCACTCCCGACGGTCGTCGTAGCACCCAAGAGATCAAGCACTCCCGACGCCGGACCAGCGGTTGTCGTAGCATCAGCGGTCTTGCCGGTTGTGACTGAGGGTCCAGCAGAGCGCCCGTCAGCTAGAAAGTCACCGGTACATTTCTCACTTTGTCCTCACTATTGCATTGCCTGAGCTAATCATGCTTCTTCTGATACAGACTAAAGTGTCCCCCCTAACAAATTGCGACGAAGCCGTCGTATCTTAAACAAGGAGCACGGTCTTGGAAGCCTCAGCGTTGAGGCCGACTATCTCAGTCTCAAAAACATCAAGAAACTCGCACACACCAAAGCATCTAAAGGACTCCACCATTGAAATTTTGTGGAATCGTGGATCGTCAAAGAACAAACGACTTGTAATTATGTATCATATGCAGCTGGTGGTTGTATTACATTAGATTTGGATCAACAGCCAAAGTTGATGCCGCTAGTTTGTTCCTCTTTCTAGCTAGTGCATTTTCTTTTTTCTCAGAGATCGCATCCCACTTGCGAATGCCATTATGCATAGTATCTATCCATTCCAGTGGCTGTATCAACCGGCTTGCTAAATCTGAGATCCTCCTGTGGAGTGCCGCCGATGAGAGTGATGCAATGTTGATTATGTAGTGTTCAGTATCATTGTGTATGAGCTCTTGAGTTTTCTTGGTGCTCTTCCTCCTTTCCACGGTTTCAGTGTCTGTCTCTGTGAGCTCACAGGCACTGCGGTAGCAATTATGCTGAACATTCAATCCGCTTTCAATGGCCTGCATGTTTCAAATGCAGGTGTTAGTTAATGATCTTTGATGGTTCAGAAAAGTTGAAATACCCACCGATGCTTTCACAAATATGGATTTGGAAGTCCTTCGAATCTCCCTCATTTTGTAGTGTGGACTTTCTTCCTTCTTTTGAAATATTGTAGTGTGGATGAAGAAACAGTGTTGATGCAGAGGTTTCTGGACCATCCAGATAGAATTTATGGAGCCGATGTGATTTTCTGAGATTTCTGGCTGGGTACAGTTGAACTATCCAAAAAAAAAACATCAGCAAAGAATGATTAAGGTTTTGGAAATAGAACATAAGAAATAAGTACCACAATAAAATAATCCTTTTTGAGAAATTGCTTCTTGTTGAGGTTCAATTCGGATATTTGCCTGATTTCGTGACCTGGATAGGCATTCTTCAAGTCTTGAGGAGTTTCTACCTTATCACTATCTGATACAAATTTTTTCTTAACAAGGGGGTAATTGGTACTTGGAAAGGATGTAGAATGATTGTAGCCTAAAGTTTGCTGGATTAAAGGATTAGAATTAAACAGATTTGTGACATGATTTGAAGATTGTAGATAAAGCTTTTTTTTTGTCATAGAAGAAACCACCAGAAATAATTTGGCGGAAAGAGTGATAATTGCTGAATGTGATAGCTATATCTTGGCCAGGACTTTGACGGTTGGAATGGATTGAAGCATTTCTAAGAATACCATTATAGCTTTCAAACTTTTCAGTGGCAAAAAGACTAGCTGGACCAAATAGGAGGATAGACTCTGGAAGATGAAGCAACATGTGGAACTTGGCTTTATTGACCCACTGGGCAGAATCTTCAACAATCTGATTTAAAAATATATCGATGTGATTCTTCAAATCAGAAATATAAGTGACCATATCTTCAATATGAGTTTGAAAGATTAAAGAGCCCAGATGACAGAGAGAAGACCAGAGCTTGATGTCGGATGGATTCATGAACTGGAAGAATATGAAAGGAGCTGCTTGAAGAATTATTCTAAAGTCTTTACCAACTAAACTTGAAGAATATTGTACCATACTTTTGGGTCTGATGGATGGGATGTTTAGAGAATTTGTGTTGAAAGATTTCCATAGGACTGAGAGTTCTTTCTTTTCTTTTTTGTCCAATCCTTTCATAAAATCTCTAAATAAGTACTTTACCGCCCCAAGTAAGAAGACATGTAAGACTTCAACAGGTGTATCCCTGACCATGTCAAAACCTAAGAAAAAAAGGAAACAGAACGGATAAAGTCAGAAACAAATATTAGATAAAAAAAGTGAAATAAGAACCTTTCAACTCCAAGAACGGATTAAACATTCTACTGAATTCATTCTCTTCCATATCCATAATATCTTGGGGAATTTCTTGATCCATATGATCTGGTAATTCTTGTTCATTCTCAAGTAAATCTATTTTTTCTGCATCAAATTCAAATAACTTTTTGCAAAATGTTTGGTTGATTTGATCTTGAACACCAAGTTTAGCAGAATCTTTGTCCAATTTTTCTTTGTTGAGTGTTTCTTTGGCGTGCTTCCAGAGTTTTTTTGAGCTTTCCTTGGTTTTTTTCATGGTTCGGAGTTGATTTGGACAATATATTTTCATAAGGAAAAAAAGGGAAAAGAATTCAGAATTTGTCTAGCAAAAAAGACAAGAATCAAACAATACATTTGATCCATGTGAGTTTTTCTGTAAGAATTGTGAGACATAGGGCATTTTCTTTCTGGCTGCCAAGCTTGCAGAACTCAAGACACAATATCGACAAGAATTCAGAGAGTTTCCAGGAACTGGCGTGTTGGTAAATTCGGTGTGCATCAGAGAATCGGCCAAGATACATAAAACACTGGCCATAACATGAACTTTCTGGTGGATTGTAATATCATAGGCTTCAAATCCATCAATGGCCATTTTACTAGAATTAAGAAGAAAATCACAATTGATTAGAAGACATAAATTGTAAAAATCAAACCCTGAATAATTTCAAAATGATGAAAATCTTACTTGAACTGTTTAACAACCATCTCTCCCATTTCCAAAGGTCCTGCAATATTTGAGGTTCAAAGAAAGTGACAGTTGAATTGTTGATTGGAAAATTGAGGGGGTAAATTGGCCAGTGTGAAATAATAGGAGATGTGTTTATTCCATTTTTTAGATTTGTTTCCAGATGTGTCGTCACAGTATAAAGTAATAGGAAAATTTTGTAGGATTTTTCCCGCGGCTTTCTTCCTCCAAGGATTTGGTAAATCTATGTTTGGATTCCAGTTGTCCTTCTCGTCAATCTCTGTTCAAACAAATTCAGAGAAAAAAATATGTAAATAAATTTTTTTTTTATGATCAATTTCATTAATGCCTGGAATTCTCACTATTGATCTTTCCCTCACAACATGCTGATAACATCAAACCATTACTCATCTTAATCTCCTCATAGGTTAAGTCAAAATTTTCAACAGAAATTATTTTCAGATTTTGATCATCAAAAGAGATGTTATGAGGAATTCCAATCTGAACCTTGGAACAATCTTTTGTGGATTTGTACTTGGGAGGATAGCACTTTGCAAACAGCTTATTTTGTTGGGTGTAGAAGAAGATGGGAATGAGAATTTCAGAAGATATTCAGCGGGCTGGTTCAAAAATGTAGAAGTGTTTTTGGTTTGATTCCACCATCTGCACTCAAAGATCTGGCTCTGTATATTTCAGCCATTTTGTAGACTGGGAACTTTTATAGATATTTTTTCCATGAGTTTCTTCCGGAAAAAAATCCAGGTGTGGTGCAACCAAAGGATTCATCAAATCCTGTTGGAAACCAAACAGAAACAATCTCAAGTCAGGTTAAGCAATTCTCTGACACAGATAGCGGTAAGTCTTGCTCACATCTGAAATCAATTCACTTCCATTGAATCCAAAAACCGGCTGACCAAACACTGTTTCCTCTTCAACTATAGTGCGATTGATCAGGGTCCGTATCTTCGCTCGCATTATTCGCAAGGCTTCCCAGCGGGGAAGACTGACATGGTATATTGTCAAGATGCATCGAATCAGATGATACGTGTTGCGGCAAATGAGCTTGTGTAAATACCCAAGAAGGAGCGACCCAACAAGGTACTGAAAACCAATTGATTTGTAAGTTTTCTCTACTTTAATTTTGGCTTGCTCAGATGATTTGAATATATATGGATTTTGCTTACCTCTCTATTTAAGAATGGGTACCAGGCTGAGTTATCGGGTTCTAACTTATTGATCTCCTCTTCTTGGCGACGATAAAGAGGGCTGGACGAGTCTAGAGTGAGATCCTCCGGCTCAGAATTGATTTGATAAACCGCCACATCAACGAACTCCATCCAACTCAGCTCGGCCTCCTCATCGCCGGATTCTCCGTCAGGTTCCCCAAATGTTCCCGGTGGAATCGCCTCGGCTTCGTCCAATCTGCTTCCATCATCGTTGACTTCGTCCCGTTTGTCATTTATACCAATTACAGGCTCAAGCTGATTAGTCGCATCGATGTCTTCTGTTGTCACCTCATTATTTGAAACCTCTAATGCGGCCCTCCGAGCCGATTTTTGAATGTTGCGATCTTTATTCACTCGGACTAGATCTTGATGACGTTTGTTCATGGTATGTCGTCTTCGGTTAGTTGTGCTCCTTCCTTTACATAAATAACATTCGTATTTTTTTCCCTGCGTAGTACTCCTTTCAATAAAGTCTTCAAAAAAGAGGCAAGTTATTTTTTTTTCCTCGTGTGTCCACAAAAATCAATGATATGCTTACACTTAAAATCTGTATCCATTGTTGCTGAGTACAAGCTAACCAAACGTTTGACAAAGAAAGATTAATGAGTTGCGAGTTCAATAATTTGGTGGGGGTAAGTGAATTGTCAGGTTTGAATGACTTAGCCAGTTAATCGTTCTGGATCTGACCGTTGTCCTTTACCTTTTAAACATTGAATCAGCCCGACACAACAGTTAAAAACTCACTGAGCTTGTCTTCACTCCCACATCTCGGACTTCTTCCCAATCTTCTGACCATCATCCTCTCTCCATCGATCACATCCATTGATCGTTCATCTTTCTCTTTCTCTCAACCCTTCATTCCACATCATCACAATGTCATTGAACATGGATGATATCCTCCATGGGGATCTTGATGATCCTAGCCCCGGATTTCAAGGAGTCAATGACGAACTCTCACCCACTGCTCAAAACCCTTCCAATCATCATTCATCCGACGAGTTTGAACATACTGATCCCCACTCTCTATTCAACCCTTTGTCTAACTCTGACCGCGATGTCAATATGATCGATTGATCTGCCTCCCATCGTGACCAAGATACCTTCGAAGAGGTCTTTGATAAACTCCAGTCTGAGTTTAAACTCGATCCTCAGCATTTGAAGATTGCTCTTCTCGCTAGCAAGGTACTTCCCTCCACTCGATCTTCTTCAAATCTAATTCGATCGTTTAGCTCATTTCCAATCCTTCTCTTTAATATAATCCCAAGGTTGTCCCAGAAGCAAGGAACGCTGCAGTTATTTTTGCTAATGGTGCCTATCACCAACTTGATGGTCCCCAACCGGCTGAAACTCACAAATTTGATCAAGTTTTCAAGGTCAGGCAATTACAATTCCATCAATCTGGATGGATTGATGAGTTTTTTCTGCTTTACTGATACCTTACCCACAATCAATTAGACCTTTGTCAGAAAAACGGCTCAAATTCTCTTACTTGTTCCAACCATCGAAGCATACTCAAACAACCCCCATAGGAACGGTGCTCTCCCAAAAACTCTCTACTATCGAACCCTTGTAAGCTTTTTATACTTCTTTCTTGCCTTTTATCAATGCAAACCCCAATCGATTGTTCCCTAGGACGCGATCAAAAAGCAGCCTGCCGAGTGGAAGAAAGATCATCTTGAATCGGCGATGGCACAAGACATGCCGAAATCTCCTTCGACTTATCGTGATGCAATGGGAGAACTTTTGAAGTACCAACGGAGCAATCTATGTTTACTTGTAAGCTTTCATGTTGCATACTCCCATTAACATTACCTGATTCATTGTTTTATTGTCTTTGCTAGCTTTTGACCAACATCCTCGAGACAAAGAGGATAACTATCAACGGTCCTGTGCCAAATCAAAAGGCGATGTTAACTTCTGTGAGTACTCAATTAATCAGCCAGCTACATTTGTATGAGTAGTATTTGAGCAATGTGTTTTACTTTGCAGATTTATGTAGATCTTCCACCAAAGGGAAACAAGATGACTAAAAGCGAGATTGATCATCAAGTAATGAACAACTACGCAATGCGATACCGCATGTGCTATGCACGACTAGTTATGGTTTATTTCTATGTACATAAATCGAAGAAAGATTCTCAATGGACGGACATCGACAAGCGATTGGCTATCCTAAGAGGTTCATCATGCGAGTTCCAACAACAGTAAGCATCCAATTTTATTTATCTCATCCCCCTTTTCTTGTTGTTAATGACACCGTTTTTTTTTTCTTGCAATAGCCATTCAACACTTGTCCTGAACCGAGACTTCCAGCTTTTCTCGCACAAGAGGGACTATAAGACCATGAACCGAGAAGACTTCTCTGTTCCTACCCTCGAAGAGGTTCAAGATTCCGTCAACAGTGGAATCGTCCCCGCTCTTCTCAAATAGTTTTTTTCTTCTCTCCAAAATCCGTTGATAAACGGAGTTTCACTTCGCTAATCATCCCTGCAGGTGATCGATCTACACATGTTGTTTCTATTTTTTTTTTTTCTCAATCTCGCTGGTTTCGTTGTTTTGTCCTCAAATTTCCAGTTGAGGGTTCCCAAAAGATCAATCTCTCTTTTTTGAATCGGTTTCTGTTTTGGCGGTTTTTTGAAAAGAAAACCGCCGGTTTCATCACAAGTGGATTGTTTTTTTCCAACCGAAGAAAAAAAAAAAACGGTTTTTAAATCGATTTTACAATCTGGCGGATGGTTTTGCGAGGAAACATACCCGCCGGTTTCAATTATAAGTTATTGATCCGGCCGGGATTTTTGTTTTTAATTATTATAATAATATTGTTTCACGTTGGGGCGACGGCAGGCTACTTCCGTCGGCGCTGTCGGTTAGCTCTCAGAATGCCGTCGGGTAGCAATTATGCCGTGAGGCTTAGGTGAGATCGCCGACAAAAGCCCCTCGTCGAACAATCAGCCGACAGCAGCACCAACGGAAGGCCGACATCTGCTGCTATGCCGACCGCGGGCAGGCACGTGAAGCCGGCGTGGGAGGTCGCGCCGACTGCGGCTGCCGATACCTCCCGCAAAGAAGCCCACCAAAACCGCTGGGCGGGGGCGGGGAGGTTGGCTCCACATGAAATTTCACGTCGCCCCGCGGTGGGTCGAAGTTCGTGGTGTACATGTGAGGACTCGGGAGCAGGATTTAGGGACCGCCGTAGATTTTAGCGACCGCGGTGGGTCCTGTAGAGTCCTTAAATTCCACATGCGGACCCAATTTACGGTCCGCGGTGGAGTTGCTCTTAACCAAGTCCCTCTGTGGGAGGGGGGACGCCGTCCCGAAGGGACCCTCCGCAGGAGGGACTTATGAGCTAAGCCGACCCTCTCGCCCAAGAGGATTAAAAAAATCGGTCTCTTTTTTTAATCCTTTCTCCTGTGTCTATCTATCGGTCTCCAGGTACAAAGTCACCCACCAATAGGAGGGGCTTTTTGGGCAGATTATTCGGATCACACTCTCAGTTTTGTGAGGTGACTTCGCTCTTGTCCACCTTAGAGCATCTCCACCGCGCGTTGCCAAACCGGGTTGCTAAACCCAGTTTGGCAACCCAAGGCCGGTTTAGCAACGCCACCGGGGTTGCTAAACACCTGAAAAGGATAGCACCCGGCCCTCCAGGAGCTATCCCGTTGCCAAACATACAAACAGGATAGCAACCAACCTCACAAGTATCACAGGCAGCAAACCTGTGATACTCCCTCTCCCCATTCCCCATATCCCCCAATCCCCATTCCCACTTTCACCATCAAACACCATCAACATGGCTCCTTTGGATACACAATCAATCCCACTCGACCCACTCCTCAACAAAGCCAACGAAAGCCAACAATTGGAAAGCCAGCAAACATAGGTCCAACTGTCTGAAAGTCAACAAACCGACAATGCTGGAAAGAAACGATCCACAGTTATACCAAGAATGAAGATGTACAACTCTGTCGATTGTGGATAATAATATCGGAGGATCCCATTGTCGGTACTAATCAGGAGGGGGCGACCTTTTGGCAACAAATCGAGCAAACCTTCAAGATAGGCGACTTCAAGGATTCACCTCAAACTTCTGGTAGTATGAAAGCTTGCTGGGCATCCTTACAAAAAGTCATCAATAAGTTTCGAGGCTGCTTTAGCACAGCCAAGCAGATCAACCAGAGTGGAACGTTGTGGAACTACTCAACCAGGGAGATAGAGCTTGGAGGGGATATAGACAACTACACTAGTACTAATGTAAGTTGATACTACAGGTGCTGATGAGGCTGCCCTCCTGTACAATGCTAATGGGAAGAGTGTAACACTAAGAAAAAGAACAAGAGAGGTGTGGCTGATTTCTACTTTATATTAGACTACTATTACTGATGAGCTTGTGTATGTAGTACCTACTGAGGTGTGAGGAGGAGGAGTAATGAAGTGTGAGGGGGATAATACTGGCAAGGGGTAACACTGGCAAAGAGGAATGGCACTGGCAAAGGGGATAATCTGGCAAATGAGGATTTATAACTGGCAAGGGGGGATGTATAACTGGCAAATATAACTGGCAATGATATCTGGTAAAGATATAAGGGGTGATACTAGTATTTCTGATTTCTAAGACTATGGTTAGAAAATTATTCAGGCAAGGTACATAGCATACATAGCATAAGGGGGAAAATACATGAGAAGGAAGAAAGAGTATATATGTGTACAACATGTACATACAACAGCAAAGCACTATGGCAGGGGAAATCCTGGCTATGGGTAATGTAAGTCTTAAACAGTAATGAGTGATGAGAAATAATGTAGCTAAGAGACAGATGTTCTGTGTATACAAGTGTTAATCAGGTTTGGAAAGTCAAAGCAGTGTGAAAGGAAATATGTACATGATGTAATGTAGTTAAGGTTATCCTGATTGATGTATGTAGTTATGGTTATGCTGAATATGTAGTGTAGTATGTAGTAATGGTGATGTACCATGATGAATGAGTGATTCTACATAGAGACTGTAACTATTTAATGTGTAATGTATATGTACTGTATGTATAAAGTAATGTACTGTTCTGTAACTCTGAATATACTGAGGAGATGATAACTAGAAAACTACAAGAGATACTGAAAAGCTGTAAGAGGTGACTAGGGGTGAAATAATGTGTAGAATCTGAATATGAAATAATAATGGGAAGAATATATGTAGAAATGATGTGAAAAATGAGGATACATGGAAAGGTATGGACATACCACAACGTCACCTGAGGATTGTTTAAATCGAGTGTTACGACTTTTCTTCGAAGACAACAACACCTCGTTCAAGAATCTCCGATGTTACAACATCCTTATCAAATGCCCTAAATGGTGTTCTTACAACGATGAAAACAGCAAAAAGTATCAAGATTCAACTACCAAAAAGAAACGTGCAAGAAGCCCCAGCAGCGACGCTCCGGCCACGACTGCCCCCACTTTGGATGCGGTTTCTGATTTCAAAGCGAATGCAACCGACCATTCTAGTCTTGATTGTCTGATTGGGAATAAGAAGGCCAAGCGTCTCCACCACATCGAAGTCAATGAGCAAGCGTGGAAACAAACAATCGCTGAAGCACACACTTTGGTTGCGAACGAGCAAAAACGCCAGAATGACATCTTCAACAAGGAAGCGCAATTGTTGCAGATGATGGCTGCGACCGGATCGGCGAACAATGATGTGATGATCATGAACCAAGACCTCACCAATCTTGATGACGATGCCCGGGAATATTTCACCTTGAGAAGAAAACAGATCCTTGCTTCTCTTCGAGCGAACTCTAGCTCATCCTCCTAGCCGTGGTTTTATCTGTATTTACTCTTTTGTGATGAACACAACCAAGCAATACAATGAAATATCATTTTTTTTCCTCTCACTTTCCTCTTATGAGCGCCCTAGTATTGCAAGCTATCAAGCAATAAACTTATGAGTTCTTCAAGATTGCATGCATGCAATCGATGTTATTATGTGTGTATGCTTCAAGATCGCAAGCAATCAAGCAATCAATAGCAATAAAATTTATGAGTTCTTCAAGATCGCATGCAATCAATGTTCTTATGTGTGTGTGCTTCAAGATTGCAAGCGATCAAGCGATCAATGTATGAGTGCTCAGCAAGCAAGCGATCAATGTTATTACGTGTGAAAGCAATCAATGTATGAGTCCTCTAAGATCACAAGCGATAAAGCAATCCTAGAGTGCAAGTGCTAAGATCGCAAGCAATCAAGCAAGACTTTTGAAAACGTTTACAATGTTATTTCATTTTTTCTTCAGTGCTCTAAGAAAACGATCGTAAAAGATGGTTGGAAAAGAGATTATGATAGATACTGATTGGGATAAAGAGCAATAAATAAATGATCGAAGCAACAACGAGAAAGAAAGGAACAGTCAGCTGGACCAAGTCACATATTGAATGTATCCTCCGATTGCAATTGTCTCCCCTTGACTTCCCATTGGTGTTTGATGAGATTGCGCCAAAGTTGAAAGTGAACGTGTTCGTCCTTCACGGAGTGATAATTCTCAATAAAATCTGCAAACGAGATTGGTCCATTTCTTTCAATGTTTACTGGTGTGATGACTGCGGCCGGGTTGTGATCATATACATATTCTAGGTAAGATTCCCTCTCATCCTCCACAATCATGTTGTGGAGGATGATACAGGCTTTCATTATGTTCCTCAGGTTGAGATGTTTCCACCCTCGTGCGGGTCGTGATACGATAGCAAACCGAGACTGGAGAACTCCAAATAGAGATGTCAGCGGGTACCCGGTACCCGTTTGCGGGTACCTGTTTTCCAAAGCAGGTACCGGGTGCGGGTGCGGGTGTCAACATTTGTGGTAAAAACAGGCAGGTACCCGGGTACCTGCCTTACACCCGCCCTGGGAATGCTTCCCCTGAAGAATTTAATTTATCATTGGTGGTCCAACACTCCTTTTTTTGGGGGTGTTGGGCTGCACAAAGGTGTCAGCAACCCATGTAGGACACCAGCTGGTGTCCTACATGTGTTGCTGAACTAATCTGCTTGCTTTGTTGAGGCCGGAGGGTACCCTCCAGCCTTTGAGATGGTGTACAGTCTTGATGACTGGAGTAATTCCTCCAGTCATAAACATGGTGTACAGTCTTCATCAATGGAAATTAAATAAGGAAAATGAGGCCAAGCAAAAGGGTAAAGCTAAAGATAGATCAGAGAGAAGATAAAATTCAAATTGGTGATAGAATAATTTGTTTTTCTTTATTTCTTTATTTTTATTGTATTCTTACTCATATATCTAGTGAATATCAATCTTATATTTACCAAGTGATGCAGAAATTCAAGGGTGAGATTTCTGGGTATATTTGCCTGCAAAAATGTGCCAGGTACCTGCAGGTACCCGGCGCAGGTACCCGGGTACCCGCCCTGGGGGCCCTAGCAGGTGCAGGTGCGGGTGCGGGTGTCAAAAATATTGGATTTTTGAGGCAGGTACCCGGGTATCAAGCGACATCTCTAACTCCAAAGGCGCACTCGACATCCTTGCGACGGGCTTCTTGCATTTTTGCAAAATGCTGCTGATCAAGTCCTTCCGGCTGCAACAATGTCTTGACGAACACTGCCCAGTCGGGGTATATCCCATCGGCGAGGAAGTAACCATGTGTGTATTTGTGGCCGTTTATTGTGTAGTTACATTTGGGACTTTGACTGTTTAACAAATTTTTGAATAATGGCGACCGCTCCAACACGTTGATGTTGTTGTGGGATCCAGGAAGTCCAAAATAGGCATGCCAGATCCACAGATCTTGGCTTTCCACTGGGGGGTTGATAAGTGCACGCCAACCCCCATGGCGCACGCCAATTTGCACGCTAAGCGCAGATTGGCGTGCGCCCCTGCACGCCAATCTGCTGCAGGGTAGATTGGCCTGCAGTTGGCGTGCAGGCCTGCACGCCAAACTGGGTCCTAAACCCATATGTATATGGGTTTAGGACCTGGGCTATCCCATAGGACCCAGGCCTGGGTCCTAGGGGATAGCCCAGAGTGTTTTTTTTTCAAGAAAAAAAATAACAAGGCTCGTCGGGAGGGGTTCCTCCTGGCGAGCCAATACTTAAACCCACTCGTTGGAAGGGATTCCTTCCGACGAGCTGGTCTACACACCAGCTTGACGGGAGGGGTTCCTCCCGGCGAGCCGGTAATTAAACCAGCTCGTCGGAAGGAATCCCTTCCGACAAGCTGGTCTACACACCAGCTTGTCGGGAGGGGTTCCTCCCGGCAAGCCGGTAATTAAACCAGCTCGTTGGAAGGAATCCCTTCCAACGAGCTGGTGTACACAACAGCTCGTCGGGAGGAACCCCTCCCGACGAGCCAGTACTTAAACCAGCTTGTCGGAAGGAATCCCTTCCGACGAGCTGGTCTACACACCAGCTTGTCGGGAGGGGTTCCTCCCAACGAGCCGGGAATTAAACCAGCTTGTCGGAAGGAATCCCTTCCGACGAGCTGGTGTACACAACAGCTTGTCCGGAGGGGTTTCTCCCGACGAGCCAGTACTTAAACCAGCTTGTCAGCCTGGGTGATGCCAAGAGCTTGACTCTTCTAGCTACACCAGGTGCAAAGCTAAGAAAAAAGGTGTAAAAGTGTGGGTAACACTTGGAATGGGGAGGTGTTTGATATTAAGAAAAGAAATAATAAAAACTGTTAAGTTTTTATAAAGGGAGGGGCCTGAGTTACAGGGGTTTTTATGGTGCCCTCCAATGAATCAGGACCTGTTAAACAGGGGTATTTTTGATGTACCTGATGATCTGGTCCTTTGTGTAAAGGAGTATGCCCAGACAAAATGCCTACAACTGAAGTATCAAGGAAATATTACCTACTTGTACTATTTCCAAGCCAAGGGGGACTTCAGGAGGGGGAAAACTGGTCTGGAAGCGCTCAGAAAACTGGGTAACAGGTGGTGAGAGAGTGCTGGGGAACAGTTGATGGTTGGTTGGTTGAATTTCAGGATGAAAAACAGCAGGAACTGGGCCAAAACAGGTGATAAACTGGTTGTTGGAGGTGGTTATTGCTGGTAAGTGATAATGAAGATGGGGAATTTGAGTTCGTGGTCAAGAAGGGCTCCTTATATACTCATTCTGGGCCCTTGGAGGCGAACTCAGAACTCTGTTTGGCTGGTGTAAGCCTCCTACTAGGCATTGGTGACCTGTAGCACTGCCTAGACACCTGTAGTCCTTGGTTACAGGTGGCAGAGGGCTGAAGTGAGGCTTGTAACACACACTAAGGAGTGCTGTGACGAACCTGCAGCCATGGTTTGGGCACTGGGACCCTTTAATGACCAGTGGGCTGGTCTTAACCAGGCGTAGTTAGCCAAATTGGGCCAAAAAGGGCCACAAATGGCTTTTGACCAGCCAGTTACAGTTGTTGTGACAATGTAGTTAAGGTTTCAATGATGTCAACCTTATTTGTAGATTTTTCCCGAACTGCATGAACCTTAATTACATATGTAGACCTGTCACAACATGTAGTATGATGTAACTGGGAGGGTTTTTAGCAAAATGAGCAAGTGTCACTCAGAGTACACAGAAGTACCTGAAGGAGTAATAATTCAGGGGTACTTCTGGTGAGGTACCCTAGGTTATTTTGCATAAGAATTAAGAATCTGAAATAATATTCTAACTTTTGCTTAAGGTTTAGAAGTTATTTGTAGATTCATGTTAAACAATGTTTATTTATAAATGTTTTTGGTTTATTTTTATGTTTTCTTTCATGACTAGGAAAACTCAATGTAATGAGTAATAATGTCTATATTATAGTGATTCCACTTATTTAAATATTAATGTTTTTATATATTCATATGTAATAATGTCTCTACATTATGTACATATAAAATAGACATTAATTACATATGCTATGGGGGTAGTATATGTAATAATGTCTCTAAATATTTATGCTATGGTCAGGTTGTCTCTGAATAGTAGCAGGCTGACACAGCTCGTCGGAAGGAATCCCTTCCGACGGGCTGGTGTGTAGACCAGCTCGTCAGAAGGGATTCCTTCCGATGAGCGGGTTCAAGTACCGGCTCGCCGGGAGGAACCCCTCCCAACGAGCTGGTGAACAGAGGCTCTGGCTGGGAGGGGTTCCTCCCAGCCTCAAGCAGTTATTATTATTATTTTTTTTTCTTGAAAAACAAAATTAAAAAATTAAACTCTGGGCTATCCCCTAGGACCCAGGCCTGGGTCCTATGGGATAGCCCCGGTCCTAAACCCATATACATATGGGTTTAGGACCCAGTTTGGCATGCAGGCCTGCAGGCCAATCTACCCTGCAGCAGATTGGCGTGCAAATTGGAGTGCGCCATGGGGGTTGGCGTGCACTTATCAACCCCCTTTCCACTGCTTCAAGGATAACTGTGGGGACCTGCAGGAACAAATGAATCAGTGTCCGTGAATTTTGTAAAATTTGAAAAAAAGAAAATAAGCTTTTCTTTGCCCTGAAACTGCCCTGCCCAAGCCGTAGGGCAGTTTTTCCAAGTCCAATGCATGCAATCAACTGATCCTAGCATGCCGGGGAACCCTCTCTTGGACCCAATCTCAAGGAGTCTCTCCAAGTCTTCAGTCGTAGGCTCGCGGAGATATTCAGATTCGTATATTGCAAAAATTGCGTGGCAAAATCGATCCATTGACTTAAGCGAGCTTGTTTCCGATAACTGCAAGTATTCGTCATTACAATCTCCAGCTCCGCAAAGCCGCAGTGATCTTGATCAGGGGATGAAGGCCCATTTTGCCTAATGCATCAGGCTTTTGAACAAAGTAGCTGTCATATTCTTCAACAGCGCTAGCAATCCTCAAGAAAATCGATCTTCTCATTCTAAAGCGTCATCTTAATAAGTTTTCGTTGTAGAGGGGTGTATCGGAAAAATAGTGATTGTAGAGTTGGTTATAGCTGAACTCAAATTGGCAAGGGAGATTTGGCTTCTTTCCAGGTTTCGATCCTCCATGAGGTGGGAAGTAGTCTTCGTAATTAGTGTCATCGGCAAGGACTTCTGCCGCTTCAAGGAGTAGATTTCGTTGGATTGCTGAGCTTGCTAACCGCTGCTGTCTTCTTAATAGGAGTTCCGGCAAGATGGATTCAGGATTGGCAGTCGAGGTGGTATCCATGACTGTTGGGGGGTTGTCTTCCATCGTTGAAATATGGCAAAGAATTCAAAGAGTTGTTTTGTTCTTGAAGATGGAAAGCAATGAAGGACCGGGGAACAGCAGGGGGAATTGGGGGATGAACTTTCACAGAGGACAGTTGCCATATTTGGCAACTTGCGGTGAAAAATGGACCAGCTGCCGGTTGCTAAAAGCGCGGCGCAGTTGCCGAACTTGGAGATTTGGCAACTCTGATGGCAACCGGCGGTGGAGATGGTCTTAGCTTTTTCACTTTCATCTCTCAAAAGTGATTTTGAGGTTGAACCTGTATTCAATGCCACACATCAGGTATACAGGAGTCTTTCAATTAAATACTGTTTTGTATGCACATATTCAAGCTGGCTACATTGCCACAAGACCGACAAAATGCTGCATACAGATCAAGAGCTTGGAAGAAGCGGGAAGCTGTTCTTAACCCATAAGAAATATTCCAAGGATCAAGAAAGGCAGGCACTTGGATTGGCTCCCAACATGTTAACCTAATTCCAATGTGAAGTGGTGGCAATCAAGGGGATGGTTGGACCATACATATTGTGAAGAATAGATGGAAATTGGGGCACAAATGAGCTGTGGAGGCGAGTTATAAAAAAGTCACCAGCCAAACTCTTAATCCTCTTGGGCCGCGGGGTCGACATAGCCTGTAAGTCCCTCCGGCAAGCCATCGGATCAACTGCCAGGAGGGCCATCGGATCAACTGCCAGGAGGGACTTAGTTAAGTTAGACATCTCTGCTAATCGGAGGTTTCATCCAACTTTCACTTTGGGGAGAGCCTGAGTGTAATGATCAGAATTATATCAGTGAACTATTTGTTACTTTACTGATTAAACAATTTCTTTAAATTCTGAAAAATTTCTTGAAATGTGTAACATGCCCTTTATTTCCTCTTATAACAAATTCAAACATGTATTTCAATTTCTACTAGAAACAAAAAGTGCGCGGCATTTGTGAATGCCGGATAACCCGATCATCGTAATGGTTTATAGGAACAGCATCGACTGTTTTCGCCAAAGTGAAAATCAGGATGTTGGTCATGATTTCACAAGGCAAAAACCCAAAAGAATAAAAATCTAAGAAAGATAAAGAACATTTCAAAATGAACTAGAAAAACATCATAATCAAAAGATAATGCTAACAAACATAGGCTTAGCTAGCCTAAATACAATTTGATATCAGTTTCTTAATGATCTGATCACCAATCACCAGTAAAGTAACAAATAGTTCACTGATATAATTCAAAGTATCTTTAAGCTAGCTAAAGCTCTGTTTTTTAGAATTATCTTCTCATTATGATGTTATTCAAGTTCATTTTGAAATGCTCTTTATCTTTCTTGGGCAAGGTCTCATTCCCCCTTGTCTGTTTCTTCATTGATATATATTTGTTCTTTGCTTATCATTATCTTATTGATCAGAAATAAAGACTTTAAGTTACTATTCATCAAGCTCCCTCTCGTGAGTTTATCTTTGGTTGAGGATAAACTACCCTTACAGTTCCTAAAGCAACTCAGCCGCAAGTGGTACAGTTGCGGATGGCATAGACCAACCCACAATTTTTCGGATGTCCAAATTGGTGAGCCAAAAAATCAGGATTTATTTTAAGGATTTCAGGCTTTTTCTAGCCTTCAAAATGCTTGGAACATACCACCAATTCATACAGTATATGCTACAGGTATGATAGAGGAGCCTACATACAAGGTATAACCCCATGACTATACGTGGTTAACCCCATAGTTATGGATTATGGCATGTCCAAATTAGGGTGAAGGCGCCATGTTTGAAAAAGTGCGCACCCAGGGGCACCTTCCCAGTGGCCTCAAGCTGGGGGCGCCAATTCATTTTTTGTTATTTTTGAATTTAAAAACAATTTTTTGTAGCATTTGCTTTTTGTCATCTTGATCCCATCTCCTCGTAGTTCAGTCAGAAGAAACCCCCTCCACCTCGCACCGTGTTTTTCTGAAGGTGTGACCCAGTTGTTGTTGGTCTGGTTAGTCCTGATTGGTGGCATAATGCAAGTAAAGCGTGTACGACTTGGTGGAAATTTGGTCCAAAAACAAAGCAATCTCTGACTTCAAGTCTGGCTAGGGTTGACGGCGCCACCTTTTCAAGAGGTGCGCGCCTAGGGGCGCCTGTCAAACTTCCAGAGCATGGCGCCTTTGGCGGGCAGCGCCCCGGCGAGCTGGGTGCCGTCAAAAAAGTTCAAAGTGGTTTTTATTTTTTTTGTAGAGGCAAGACCTTTGCTACAATGCATAGCGCTTGTGTCAGAGGCCATAACTGCATAATCCCAAGTGGTGAGAGACTGAGATGTGAAATTTTAAATCCATAAAAAATTGAATCTGGTGTGATCCGGTTGGATTCGGTCCAAGATATCTCAGGGGCCCTTCAAAAGTAGGGTTAAAAGTCAGGTGCGCGCCGACCCCCATTTTCAGGATCTTCGGGGACCTGCGTGCGCACTTTGGCACCATCAACCCTAAGTCTGGCAGACTGGCAGTGCAAAAGCCACTGTCTACTTGAAATTTTTCTTCCCTAGGCTGTCAGGAGACCGTCTGACAGCCTCCCATGCCATGTACAGGGGCCAACTCTCATGAACCTTCCCATGAGATCCTCCCAGGCTCCCTGTAGAAATTAGGGTTAGGAAGGTGCGCACCCACCCCAATTTCCAAGATTTTGGGGGCGCCGGGTGCGCGCACTTGGCCTCGGCGCCGTCAACCCTAGTCCAAATACATGTGTGCTGCAAAAAAAAAATCAAGAACTGCTGGTGCAGAGGCTTATGTAGCGGTTAAAATTCTGAGCTCTACACATGTGTACGAGTTCAAAACTGCAATAATATTGAGTGTGAGGGTATATGCCCCCCCAGGATAGGCCCCGCGTGTCAAATTTGAATTTTTTGGGCGGGGCAGGGTTGGTTTATGCTGTCCGCAACTAAATGTTGAATTTACCACCTGTGTTCCAGAGTTGCCACCTGAGATCAGACAGGTGTGCCACCACAAAGTGCTAAACCTGCACTGAGGATTGAATGAGGAAGGGAGAGCAATATTGGCATGTGAAAGAGTTGCAATATTGGGGTTTCACAAGCTGGATGGGTGGTTTCACACATCCATAATCCGGGAGAGGTACCGGGCATGGTACATATGATGCAAGGGTGGTAGATCTGCAACCTTGCTACATTTTTTGGACCCAAGATCTTGTTTACCACCCCATATAGCCCCCACAGTGGTAAGATATTTTTGTAGGAGCGTAGGGTCGGTAATCGGTATGGATTACGGCAGGTGTGGCCCAGAGGAGACAGATGTAGTCTCCTCTGGCTGGCTGAGCCGCAGCCGAGTCACACCATGTGAACTAGGTCACAACAATTTTGGGAATTGGGGTGGTAAATGGGGCTTGCAACCTGTGGTGGAGTTGCTCTTGATATAGGCAATGCTCCCTTTTGGAAGCATTCATAGCCATTCAAGAAAAGTATTGAACTTTTGATAGAATTACTAAAAACCAAAAACCAGACTGAAACAAGATAAAGATCAGATGACAGAAAGAAGAAAAAACAGAGTAGAAAACGAGCGCATACCACTAATGTAGATGGAAAAGTAAAGCAATGTGAGGACTTTTTTTAGGAGGATACAAGCAATGAGTGAGCAGATAAAACAAGATGAGTATGAGCACAAGGATAATAGATTTAAAGATCTTCCTTTTTAGCAGAAGTAATTAAGCACCAATGTAGACTTTTGAAGAGAGCAAAGAAAAAGAGAAAGAGGGTGAGTGTTTGGAATTGGGATAGAGAGAGTGTAGTGACTGAGAACATTACACTGGTAGTTGAACCAGTATGGGCAAGAGTATTGATTGATGATTGAGTGAATTGAGCAGTTCTAGAGTGTTGAGTTGATTGAATCTTGAGGGTCTTGTTGAGATTGAGAAAAGAGGACCGGTATGATGACTCCGATGAGCACCAATTATTTGAAGTTGATTTAATCTTTCAACCCTAAGTGGTTGGCTGCTTCTGATGTGTGACATTTTTAACTGTCCCCTGGACATTTCAAGTTTCACAAGATTTCAATAAAAAGGTCAGGACAAGTTACAACTTGTGCTAGTGGTTTAATTTAGTTGAGGATGTGATGAAGATAGCAAGATGCAAGACATGAGCTGAAGAAAATAGACACACGGTGAAAGTGAGAGTGAGATGAAGAATTCAAATAGAAAAAACTGTTTTGAATTTAGATATAAGAAGGAGAGAAGCTAGTCAGCACTCTGAGTCACTTAATCATGATTGCAAGCAACTCCTCTAATACTTCAGTTCAAATGGTTCATTAGGCTGTTGTTGAGTATTATGATCTAGTTCAATTTATCAGAGTTTTTACTGCAAACAATTATAATAGGGGGTATCAAATATAAAAAATCCACCATTAGAAACCAGTAACTTTTCTGAAAACTGTTTTTTGCATCAAAGGGCCCCAAAAGGGGTTAAATGAATAACCAACATGTTTAAAAAAGGGTGAATTTTTTGAAACCAGTCAATTAAATAATGGTGTATTTGGTTATATTTGATACCTCCTACTGTCAGCTACCTGTCTTTATCTTATTATACCTTCAGTGCAGAATGCAACTCACTTGGTATTCAAGTGTCTTAAGCAAGTGGTAGATGATGGTGGGTTAATTTGGCTGGCAATCACTATAAATGGTATTTAAAGAATTTTTTTTTTGGTTTGTTAGCCCAAGGAACAGGAGGTTTCTTTTGACAGACAAGAAATACTTCTTAAATGCTCACAACCCTGACCATTGGGTTTCCTTGTTGGTCCCAGAGTGGTTCACGTTTTGCCTGGGTTGCCCAAGTTGGGTAGTCTGCTTGAAGGAGGGGGGACTCATTTGGTATTGATGAGGACAGAAGAACTGTTTAAAAGGATAAGCTTCTTGTTTTTTTTCTTTTTGGACATTTGAAACATTTTGTTTACTGCCTGTTGTGTTGGGGAAATAACTGGAGTTATGGAACTAGGCTTTGTTTGCTGAATGTTTATCAAACTTTTGTGCACTCAAGGCACCAATTATAAACACCTTTTTGGAAATATTTCAAAAACGTTTGTCAGAGACTTTTCATTTTAGAAAGTGCCGTATTTTGCACCAAAAAATTTATAAAACGGTTTCACAACTGGATGTCAGTTATAAACATTTAGGGTCTTAGTCAACCGACTCCCAAAAATTGGAGTTCCAACTCCCAAATTTTTGGGACATTGCAAGGACCGCCTGTCAAGGGGGCCAGGAAGTCCTGGACCCCTAATTTTTTTTCCCCCGGTTTTTTGGGTTCCTTAGAAGTTGGACCTGTGAAAAAAATAATAAAAAAAGAAGAGAAAATTTGATTCTCCCCCGGGGTTCTTGGGAGTGGATATTCTTGACACCCCATGGGGGTTTGTTGTAAATCTATGAGAAGTTAAGGGAAAGATGAAAAGAAATGAGAGATAACAACAACGGTCCAGCTATGCTAACCACATTGGTAGCATAGTGTAGTGTAGCTAAAATAAGCTGACATTTAGCATAGTGTTAGCACTAGAGATGGTTGCGGGGTATCCATTGCAGATACCCGCTACCTGCTGGAGGATACCCCCCCAGCACCAACACATACCTGCCAGGGGGTACGGATTTGGCTGCGGATGGCTGCTTTTCCTGCCAAACCTGGTGGATATCCGGGTATCCCCAGGGATACCCAAGGCCAATAGTATGAGAGTGGCCAGCTGAAAGGGTTTCCTTCCAGTTGGCAAGGATGTACCTTGTTGACTGGGTGGGTTTCCTTCCAGTCGTTGAGGTACATGTACCTTGTTGACTGGAAGGAAACCCTTCTGGTTTACGAGGTACATGTAACTTGCCGACTGGAAGGAAACCCTTCCAGCCGGCAAGGTTGTGCCTTGCCAACCATTTAAAGGGGCGGATATCCAAAGACACCTGCTTGGATACCCGCCAGCAGCTGCGGATGGCAATTTCCCTGGATAAAGCAGCTGGATATCCAGATGCGCTGGGGCCATCTCTAGTTAGTACAATTCTGCAAATCTGCACTAACACTACGTGCACAGGGGTGCCACAGCTTGTTAGCTTTTAGTGTAGCACTAGCATGATTTCACGCATCGGGGCTAACACAACACGCATGTGCTACAGCACTTTTTAGCAGCTTTTTGGCCCTTTTTGCTGGTAAAAACGCTGTAGCGTAGCGGCAACAGCAGAGTGTTAATACTAGCCAAAAAAAAAGGCGTGTTGTTAGTGCCGCTACAAAGTAGTGTAGAGTAGCAGGCGGGAGAGTGTGCTAACAATACACAAAAGATAGCCACTATGCTAATGCTAACAGGCCCTTTAGCATAGTGTAGTGGCCCACTGTTGGAGATAATGTTTGGGCTTCAGTGTCAGTTTTTGGGTGTGGATTCTAACTTGAGTTATGAGATGAGTTACCAGTTTTTTCTCCACTTTTTAATTGAATAAGTGTGTGAAGAAAAGACTGGTATGTAGCAGCAGTTGGTTTTTTGTTTTGGAGGAGGCAGGGGAGATATTGGCTAGGTTTTGAATGGTGATTCTCATACTTGAGTAAAGATTGACACTTGCTGGCCATATTTGTTATTCAAACTGGGTTTGTGAATTTTGGATAATTCAACAAATCAATCCTGCTTAAAAACTTGCCTCCAATTCTTTGCTGAGGCGAAGGCAACCAAAATCAGCAAAAGACAGAGGTGGGGGCAAGGGATATGAGGCCGGTTTTAGATGGCCAGACCCCATGAGCTTTTGGTTGGAGATGAAATAACAACACATTGGTCAAGTATGTCTCCTGAGCTGCACTATTTTTGAATAGTACAGGGGTACAATTCAATGGCAGTGTCAAATACTGATGAAAAACAGGAATTATAATCAATACCAAAGCCAGAACTGTAAAACAAGGATAACATTTTTAGACTTCTTCTTTAAAGATGAAAGTAGAATCAGTTCTTGAGAGAAAAACAGAGATACCCCACCACAGCTAGTTTTAAACTTATGAGGCAATAGAGCAGACAGACAGAGATATAAGATATCAAACAGCAACAAGTAGTAAGAGCTATTCAGTCAGAAACAATTCAAATAGAAAGATGAAAGATGAGCTTGATTCTTGAACATAGATGTTAGTCTTGTGTTTTCTTGCCAAATTGGCAATAACCATGAGAGAATTTGAGAGATTGAGTTGGGGCGATTAGAAGAGTGGAAGTTGGGGAGTGTAGATCAAGATGTTTTTAATATCAATGAGTTTTTTCAACAAGAGAGAGGAGCAACAGGAGATATAGGACAAAAGAAGGGAAGAGCCAAAGGGAAAAGGGAAAGTGAATAGTAGGAATGTTGAAAGGCGGTTGTGAGGGTGAAGACTGAGCAGGACTCATGGTCTCCAAGGATGTAACAGATAAAATACTCTGTGTGTATCATGGAGAATTCTGCAAAGCTACATGGCCAAAAACTCAATTGTTGCATCTCCTTGCAGATACCAGCACATTGGTCAGATAATTGTTTCATTGGGGTTCAGATGAATGGAGTGATACATGACAGATACATGGCAGATACTGTATCTGTTTCATCCTTGGCAGGAGGCAATTTTTTAAGTTCTGATGTTGATCAGGCAAAGGGAGTGAGCTGCTGAGGAATGGTTCATTGAGGGCAAAGATTGGGCTGTTTTATAGTGAGATTGAGAGTGTTTGGCTTGTGGTTGTGTTGCTTGCAATGGTGATAGGTCATTGTTTTGTTGGCTGAGTTGTGGTTGATGTTACTGAGACAAGTTTGGTGATTTGTGGATGGGTTGAGGAAGAAAGGAAGAATACAATGAGACGAGGAGATGAGATGAGTGAGAGGACAAAAAGGGATGAAAAAGAGGATGAAAAGGGAATTGGAGAAGACAAGAAAGGAGAGTGGGAAGCAGGAGCGGAGAGCGGAGGACGCGGACAGGGAGAATTCCAACAAATACATCTGCCCTGGGCCTGTAATTTGCTCCAAAGTTTTCTGCTGATCTTCATGGGCTCCTTTGAACACTTTTTGAGATTTGTTTTCCAAAAATGCCAACTACAAAATAAATCAAAAGCTTTTTGAAGATGTTTTTTTTTTTAAAAAATCCAAAACAGTGTTTACAATTGGCGCCTAAAAGTTCTTGGATTGATTTCAAAAACCTTCTGGTCTGAGAAGTGGGGTTTGGGAATCTTTCTGGTTGTAAAGTGGTTAATTTTGGGACCTTATCACAAACATTTTTGGTTGAAGCGGTTTCCATAACATTTTGTTTGGTTTGTGTAAAATCGGACAAAATGAATCCACAAGTAGGCCGGCAATCTTCATGGTCAAGCCCGGTTCATGGCAGGCTCCATAACCCGGGTGCCGGTCGCGAGAAGTTCTACGTCAAGCATGAGAAGGAGAGAACATAAGTCGAAGACGTTCCTTGAAAGTTGAAGCTGGAGCTGATCATGAGATCTCAGAATATCGGCTGAGATAAATTCTTTGGTCGAAGGTTTTTTTCTAAGCAGAGCTGGTTGCCACCGATCTGTTTATGTATTCTTCTCTGGGTCTTGGATACCGAATACACACACACACAATTCTTTACATGTTCAGGAAAAACCCATTTAATTTTTCTACAACCATCATTATACAGCTTCGTCTTCGAATCAAATCTTACAATTCACGTTCCGGAATCGAATCAGACACGAAGACAAAAAATCCGAACTCTTGAAGGACTTCTTGGGGACCACACTGTCCAACTAGGATCGAAGCGGAGTCAGAAGAAGAAGGAGAAGAAGGAGATGTCGAATTACAACAACCAGACGATGGTCAACAGCACCACGCCGACGAACCAGAGCACATCCACGAACTCGATCCTTGTCGACCCCGGTCCGATCTACAACTCCTACACCGTCGGCTACTTCTTCATCGGCTTCCTCATCACCATCACCTCCTCTATCCTCAACGCCTTCGGCATCAATCTGCAGAAGTTGGACCTCAACAAACAGCTCAAATCCGTCACCCAAAATCGCCAGAAATCGTGCTGTAGACCCATCTGGTTGTTGGGATTGTCTCTCTATATCCTCTCTCAAGTCCTCGGTAGTACTCTCGCCCTACAGTATATGAGATCGGGTATGTCAAAGTTTTCCATTTTTTTGTTTCTTGTCAAAAAAATAATAAATCCCAATTCGAAACTGATTTTTTATTTATTTTTACTATGAACAGAATACGTTGCACCTTTAGGATCCACCTCATTAATCTTCAACTTTTTATTTGCAAGATGGCTACTAGGAACGAAGATCACAGCCTTAGATGCGGTCGGAACATTAGTGGTAATCTTAGGAGTCGTAGGGGTCATCGGGTTCGGGAACATTCGACAGGCGGGGATCGATGAAGAAGCGAACATGTCATTATCGACCTTAGAAGCCCTATGGGCCCGACCAGCATGGATAGCGCATCTAGTCTTGCTCGAAATGATCACCGCCATGGTACTTTGGCTGGCGAATATCGGCTATGAAGTGATTGAAGAGAAACACAAGTTCGAGGCCAGTCGAGTTTTACGAGACGAAGAGGACACGGATGTGGAGATGGTCTTACGACGAGGAGGCGGCCGGAAGTCACGGTCTGGGTTCATGGAGCGGACGTTCAGCTTCCTATCGCCCCTGCTCTCGCTGCAACAAAGGCTCCGGACCTGGCTGAAAGTCTCGATCGAACGCTGGTCGATGAGTCGCTCTGACCAATCCATGATGAAACTAGATGGCCTGCTCTGGGGATGTAGTGCCGGACTGCTCGCCGGACAAACCCTGATCTTCGCAAAGAGCTACGTTAAGTTGGTCTCCAATGGCCTGGATCATCAGCGGGGTGAACCCAAGGACCTCGCGCATCCTCTATCCATCCTCATCCTCATCCTCCTCGTCCTCACCGGGGTACTACAAGTTTGGTGTCTCAATCGAGGTATCTTATCCGATTTCCCTGTCTTTGTCATCATTCAGGAGCAAACCTAACTTCATGTTTTTTTGGGTGACGTTCTTTAGGACTCAAGGTATACGACTCAACGTTGATTGTCCCCGTACTATTTGCGACGTGAGTCAACCAATTCCCATCTGTCAGACATTTTAATCTTCAAGAACAATACAAATCGCGCCATTGAGATGGAGTTTTCGAAAGCTAACATTATTCGAAAAAACAAAAATCAAACTTAATAGATATACGGGTAGTGGCTTTATCAATTCATTAATCTATTTGCACGAACTGCCGAATTACCGGACATCAGTCCTACTGATGATCTGGTTATGCATAGGAGTCTTAGTGATCGGGGTGTGCATGTTATCGGCCAAACGAGTCGAAGGAGCGGGGCCGAAGGCGAAGCCGATTGGGGAATACTCCAGCTCAGCGGATCCGGAAGGAGAGGCCCAACAGACGGCGATCGGACGGGAAGAGGCGGTGGGGATGGTGATGATCAACGCTGAGCGTCCGATCAAGAAGCGGCGGTCCCCGTCGAGTGTGGGTCATCATCAGCCGGAGCAGCTGAGCGAATCTTCGTACGGGGGCCATCGGCGGCAGTCCTCAGAAGACTCCAGTGTGCCCTCGGTCGTCGAGCTCAAGTCGCAATATCCTCTCAACCCTTCCGGCGACCACTCTCGTTCTCTTCGCCGCTCTGGCCTAAGCGCGCTCCCTAATAATCCCACCGATAATCCGTTCGATGACTTCGAAATCCTCGACAACGAACAGCTCCCTGAAGAACGCGATCAGACTCTACTGTCGTCCGGCGAAGACGAAATCGACGGCTTGCAGGATTCTTCCGACGGCTACTTCCGGCCTCCTGATAAAGCCGACCATCATGATCGTTTTTCTTGACCATTTCCTCTCCCTTCTTGTCGCCTCTCTTTCCTCCCTTTGGTCCGTCTTTCACATTATATATATATGTATGTACTTATTCTCTCTTTATTTAATTTCAACTCTTTTTTCATCGGTTCTTTTTTCCCAATAAAAAACAAATCAAAATGTGTATTAAGTCATTATATCTCCCTGCAACACTTCACTCTTCCTTTGTCTTTGTCTTTGTCTTTTTTTTTTTTGCTTGTTTCCTTTTAGGCTTGTACATACATAACTGGATAGTCTGTGTCTTATACATATTCCTATCTTTTTTTTTTTTTAATATAGAGTAAATCAGGTTGATTAACAAGTTTAAACATCGCGATCTAATTTCCGACCTGCACTTGATCCGTGAGTTGGGGTTGCCTCTAAATGAAACAAGATGGACATGTGTTGATTTATCTCCCTGGATTTGTTGGGGAAAGATTGCAGTTGCTCATGGATGAAATGTTGTAGTTTGGGCACCAAAACATGGGTTGTTTTTGTTTTAGCAAATTGGCCTCCTGATCAGGCGAGAAGCTTGTTGAGCTCGGTGCGATTAAACACGCTCGAGTACACACTGAAACCCATGAACTGCCAACTGTTAATTAACAATTGAAAAGTCGAGTCTCATCAAGAATAGAAGTCTTTTAACTCCTGCCGATCAACACCCTCCTATTAACCCAAACATTTTCCAAACGGTTTTCAAAAGAACGAAGAAAAAACAAGATGTTACACATCCAGAGATGTCATAGACTCCAACCCAGGTCCTACATCAGAGGATGGGGTGGGTTTCACTCTGTGATGTGATGATGACAGCTTTATTATTGATGCTGGTTCTGGACCTCTTCGCACTCGAGTTTGGTTATGTACAACTCGAAGCCGAAACAAAACAACGAAAGAGCTTGCGTCGATGGCACCCAGTACTAATTGTTCTTTCTTCACAAGTCGAAGAGGTTCCAAAGCATCTTTCGGAATAGGAAATCGGTGATTTGGATTTGATAAATTTCGGGACAATTGCTCTTCTGCGCCTCAGCACCCGCCAGCGGCACCAGCCACATAGCTCTTCAGGACCCTCTGCAAGGCTTGGTTGAAGGCTGCCCCCTCAATCCAGGCGCAGGACACTCCCGTCAAGTCATACACCTTTCATTTCGTCACTCCAGAGGTTGTCGATGGCCAAACTCGATCGTAAGTTGCTTCATAGTACCGGTTGACTGTACAATGAAGGTTATCATTGCTTAGCTATCAATCTGCATCGTTTCGAGGAGCACCAGTCACCCCGGATACTTAACTCAGACCGTAGCACTCTTCCCTCACGGTACTACCGAGTCGATCGAGAGCTACACCCACCCATCCCGCACAAGTCGGGTCGAAGCCGGCTCAACGGTTTGACTCTGAGCCATGTCCCTAATACTATCCTTACTAGCACTACTGAGACCTCCGGCGAGCTCGATCAGTTCCTCTTGGTCGTCTCAGTCCGCAGTGCTCAATGATAACAGCCTTCACCAGGTCTTTATCAAACTCCCATCTCTAATCCTTCGACACCTCAGCCAACACGCTCTAGTGAGTCTCACCCCTCAGCCTGCTGCTGGTTATTATAAGCCTGCCAACCTGCCCGGACTGTCCCACCCGTATCCTTTCCGCCATCCAGCTTGTCTACTTTCCTATCACCTCAAAGCTTGTCCACTGCTCCTAACCAACTGGGTGCCTCATCTTATAAATTCTAAATCTCTCTCTCTCACTTGCCTATCTTTCTTATTTCCAAAACCAACAAACACCACTGCCCTAGTCCACATGGAGATCAAATTCATCCCAAATGATGCCAGCCTAGCAGCTCATCCATCACCTTCCCTCAGAAAGACATCCTCTCTCAGGGATTTCAGTCGACGTCGCGCTGCTTCAGTGGATTCCTCAGATCCTTCAGACCCTTCCAGTCCAAAGTCTTCTCGATTCTCCTGCGCTGGTAGTGGTACAACGGCTGGTGATATCCACACTCGCCAGTCATCCAGCAATGAGCACCCTCTTCGCAACGAATTGCCAGCCTCCTCACGGTCTGGTGAGTGGCATGTCTCTGGCACAAAATAAAATAAAATAAAGAATAAATCATTAACTTATAAACTACTACCTCATCCTTCATCTCATTTTCCAAGACGGTAGCAAACCACAGAAGACCTCCTATATTTGGAGGAAGACCTTATATGAGTACTTCAAGGCAGATGATGAACCCATCCTCACTCCAGACGATGAGTGGTGGCTAGGAAGCAACAAGCCATATACCGAGAAACAAGAACCTCCGAGTGGCAAGACCCGATCCCCAAAACAGAATGTCCAGGAACGGTCCGCGGCGGAGGATGCCGCAACTGACTTGCCGGAAACAACTCCCTCCCCAGAGGCAGAAGAGAGCCCGAATAACGAGTGTCGATCCGCTTTATCAGTTGAGCTTCCTATAACCCAAGCTCCATCCGCAAGCCCGACTCCAGACAGTCCCGTCAAGACTTCACCAGCTAGTGCGACGTTCACAGCTTCAGATTTTCCAGACTTATCATCGGGACCGGTCACTGTAAGAGAGTATCTATCATTCCAGCTCCCAGATGGTCCTTGGAAAAATAAGAACCAACATTCATCAGCCAGTGGGCTTCCCCCCTTGAAATCGCCCTCCCGTCCTCCGCCATCCTATCCTGCAACCCGGTTTATCTGCAGCATTTCTTCTACCACCACCCGGACATTAAACCATCCGGCCCGATCCACTGCTGCCGCCAATGAAAAAGAACCCAAGAGATCAGAAGCCGAGCGTCGCGAGGAAACGTTGAAGGCAACACTTCCTCCATTCAAGCTTGCTGATCCCGCATTCAGTCCCCAGAAGATCACTCAATGTCCCTCCGAGCAACACCCGATCTCCGAGCTCCCCCAGCTAATCAAGTCGCTCTGCAACGACGGGATCTCGCTACCCTCTGGCCGGTCCGAGCTGGAGGGAGGGCCCTATGTGGCCGTCGCGTTTGACATGGAATGGACTATCAGTCGTGTTAGAGGACACGAGAACCGGACGGCGGTCATCCAGCTTGGGAGTCGCTCGCAGGTGTTGATCGTCCAGATCTCGAGCGACGTCGCCTGGCGAGCCCAGGGGATTATGCCCTCCTGCCTCATCGACTTCCTCGTGAATCCCCAGATCGTCAAGATCGGCGTCGGGATCCGGAACGACGGCCTCAAACTGATCCGAGATCACAAACTCGGCCAGAAGCCATTTCTCAACAGCTTCCTCGAGCTGAGTCGACTCGTCAGGGCCCTCGGCCAGCCCGATTGTGCATCCGGCTATTCTCGCCTCATCTCTCTCCAGCAAATCGTCGCCGATCATCTGAAGGTTTACCTTCCCAAGATCGACACCCGGACGAGCGATTGGGCCAAACCTTTGACCGCCACCCAAATAGATTGTAAGTCCTTCATCGACTGTCACAACCTTTCGTTCATTCCTCACAACTACCGCAGTTGAGGGACTCACTAAACATGCATCCACTTTTTAAAAATAAAAACAAATAAAACAGATGCAGCCTCTGATGTCATTGCCACCGTCCGAGTGACCATGCATCTGTTCAAGCTATTCGAAGGTCGAATCAGGAAGGCGGATTCCGGCTTGATGATACTCCAATACATCGAATCTCTCGAGCCCACTTTCGAGCGTTCCGCCCCACCTGCTCAGCCCCCTATGCCTGTCAAGCCGAAAGATTCTGGGCAAACTAGCACAACTGAGGCTCACAGTCTCATCAAGCCCAAAGGCCTCGTTCCTCCCAAGACCAAAGAGCCCTCGATACTGGCGAAATCTAAGCTCCCCGCGCTCCCCCAGCCCAAATGGCCCGGCCCGGCACCACCCACCAAACGTAACCACTGGCGCGTCCTTGTTCCTGCCTCGGGACCTCAAAGTGTTGAAGCCAAGAAGCAATGGGTGGTTCAGGCTCCAACTTTCCTGGGACCCTCTGTAACTAATCTGAAAACAAAAGTGCCGCCTGGAGCTCAAAAAGCTTGGGAACTTTGGTCAGTCATCGTTTTTTGATCTCAAATAACTCAGCAATGCTTAGGAGACCGTCAAAAAAATCATAGCTCTTCTATGGTGGATATAGGCGTCTTTGTGCTAACCCCACATCAACTTTGATCCTTTTTTAAAAAAAAAACTCGGTGTCCTGAACAACACAAAAACAGGTATCATGAAGGTCTGGCGATCAACCAATGTGTCAAATTGATAAAAATGAGTCCGATCACGTTCGCGATTAACCTAGGAAAGATGTTGATTCATTTGAAGTTGAACAAGCTCAGCTTGGACGATTACTACCAAAACCGAATCAAAGCACGGCTTGCTTATCCTCAAGCATTCGAAGATCTGCACGCCTCCCTGAACATCCCGGATGATATTGGGGACGAGAAGGCTGAGGGCGACTGCGCTGCCGAGGCTAGCTCGGGCACGGCGGATGGCCAGGTAGCTCTTGAGGAATCGTCAACATGCTGTGATGGGGAGATTAGGGCTCAAGAACAGACAGAGGGAAAAGATGATCAGGTTGTGCTGCCTGTCTCGGAGATACAGCCGCTGTCCTCATCAGACGATAAGAGTGCGGGAGACGTCCCGGTCATTGCGAAGTCCACTGATCAGACCGCGACAAGCAAACCCGTGGCCGAGGAACTGTCCTCAACTTCTGTAAGTGATGTAGCCGCGGAGAGCCGGCTGGAAGGCAACAACGAAGAAACCGTCCAGCAGGTAACAAGCTGGTATGAGGAGACCGAATCGAGTTTGAAGGGTGACCAGACGAGCTTGACTGTGCCCGAGTCCGAGCCAACGAGCCAAGAAATCAGAGACCAGTCTCCAACAATCGATGCGGATCAAGATGGCCAGAAGGCCGAAAATCAGGATCTTGTGATGGCCGGAACGACAACAGAGAAGGAGAAGAAGAAGATCGTACAACCCAAGTCCAAGAACTTCAAGATCGATGACGCCCAATTCCTCCGAAACAAATCTAGCCACACCGAGCCCCTCTTCAGCCAAGATGAAGCCGCAAGGATCCGCGAATTCAATCTCCGTAAGGCCGAGCTCATCGACTCCTTCGTCGTAGGCTTCGCCGTACATAAACGCCTCCGTACTTCCCGTAACTATTTCCAGTTCCCCTGAGCTGTATTCCTCTCTTCTTCTTCTTGCTTTTTTTCTTCTTCAACTGTTCCCTTCTCAGTCGATTTTTTTTTCTTTTCATTTCTTGCTGTTGTCGTCTTTGATTAGATTCTCCCCCTTTTTGTTTTCCTTGTGTCTACGTTTTTTTTTTTTTTCTTTTTTTTTCTTTTGGTGACGTTTCTTGTATATGTATACATATACATCTGGAAGTCGGTTGGATCCTGGTCCTTGGGTGATATGTCGGAGCCAACATGCTGTGTCGACTTCTACTATGTAGCCCCCTCCCTCCTCCAGGTTTAAAAGAACATCATAAGATATGTTTGGATGTATACTTCAAATGATGAGTTTAGGATAGAATGGCCATCATCAGCATTCGTTTCTACTTGACTCTTTTGTTTCCCTTCCCTTTCATTTCCCTTCCCTTTCATTTCCCTTTCATTTCCCTTCCCTTTCATTTCCCTTCCCTTTCATTTCCCTTCCCTTTCATTTCCCTTCCCTTTCATTTCCCTTTCATTTCATTTCCCTTGCATTTCCCTTCCCCTTCCCTTTCATTTCCCTTCCTTTTCATTTCGCTTCCCTTTCATTTCCCTTCCCTTTCATTTCCCTTCCCTTTCATTTCCCTTCCCTTTCATTTCCCTTCCCTTCCCTTCCTTTCATTGCTGCTTCCCACCTTCTAGTTTTCTATGCATTTATTTCTCTCCATCATTGGATATACAACAAAGAAGGGGGAGGATGGATCACCTATTTATTGGGAGTATTTATTGGAAAGGGGTCTAGAATTGGGACACTTTGTAGCTCAATGTATATCAAGGTTAAGGAAATGTACATAAATACATACATACAACCCTCTAATGTTCTCAAAACAAAAGTCTTCTGCATCTTCATTTATCCAATCATGTGCCAGGATTGTTGAGTCTTGGTTTTTTTTGATGAGAAAGGAGTTTTATGGTGTTGAACTCATATATGTGTTGTTTGGAAAACACTGCTCATGGGATAAGTCAGTTGATTCTAAAGAGGGACCTCATGAGGTTAGTGACCTCTCTACCCTACTACAACCAACGCTGGGCCGCTAGGCTACGCTACGCTAAAGGGCCACTTAGCGTTAGCGTAGCGGCGCAAAAACAGGCCCTTTTTTCTGTAGTGTTAGCGTGCCGCTACCGCCGCTACGCTGTAGCCCCGCTAACAGGCGGCATGTTTTTGGGTAGTGTTAGCGCATCGCTACAGCCGCTACGCTGCGTTACGCTGCGCTACAGCCGCTACGCTGTGTTACGCTGCGCTACAGCCGCTACGCTGCGTTACGCTGCGCTACAGCCGCTATGCTGCGTTACGCTGCGCTACAGCGCTTTTAGCGGCAAAAAAGGCAAAAAGCCCTGTAGCGCGGCGTAGCGGGCACTTTTTTGTGCCCTGAGCGCGTAGCGTTAGCGCAATTCCGACTCTCTGCGCTAACGCTACGCTAACAGCTAACACAGTTTTGTGCCCTTTGCGCGTAGCGTTAGCGAAGAAAGGTGGATTTTTTGCTAACGCTACGCTACAAAGTAGCGCATTTCTGCTGCGCTACGCCACGCTAACGCTACGGTTAGCGTAGCTGGCCCAGCGTTGCTACAACTGGCAGATTTTTTTTCCAGGTTTTCATTGGGATCATAAAGAACAAGAAGCCTGCTGATGTTGTAGTCAGACCTTTTGAAGTGCAGTTTGGTTTGAAATCTTTAACTATGCATATACAATACTTTCACATTACAGGACAATTCATGCCTTTGCCCCCATGGCATACAAAGAATTCTGACCACATAGTCCCCACTGAGAGAACCATTTGAAAGGCTTTATTTTGTGGTGTGTGTGTCACTTGGACAATGCAAAGGATGATGTTTTTTGAATTCACATGCACATATCCTCCATAGACATACAGGAGCAAATGATTGGTCTTGATTTTGTAATTTTATCTGGGTTTTGAGATACAGGAAAGGTGAATATCCATCGATTTTGTAATTTTATCTGGGTTTTGAGATACAGGAAAGGTGAATATCCATATCAAACAAATATTCTAAATAGCAAAAAATGTTGGGAAAAAAATATTGGTGATAGTTCAGGTGAAGAATCACTGTGCCAGAGATGAAACAAAAGTTGTGTGTTGTTTTAAAGGATGTGAAGCATGGAATGCAGACTACAGGAAAAAGTCAGGCAACTGCTACCAGTTGATATACAGCATGCTCCAATGAAGCCTCAATGGAAACTTACATAAGGTCATTGTGTTGACGTGCTTGAGTGGCACTACCCTGTGGCTTCAAAGGGGTGGACCAGAACAATGTCACCGGTGAACAATGTAGAATAAAAGTCTGAGTTCTCAAGCTCAGTGTAGAGTATGATGTGAGCTATTGCATGTCAACTGGCACCAGTTTCTTGACTGTTTCTTGCAGAACAGATTTGCAATAACTCAAAAAATCCCCCCCTCCCCCTATGGTGGGAGGCTCTCTGGTGTGAAGCACTGTCTGGTGGAAACTTGGCAAAACCACCCCTCCTGCAGGGAGGTAATTCTAAGGCCACCCCTGCTTACCTGAGAGGAAATGGAATAACCAACACTTGACTTCCAGAAGGAAAGATGTGCTTGCATCTTTTGTTGGTTTTCCTAAACTCAGTCTTGCTAAACATTTTGGCTGCAAAAAATTCAGAGTGAAAGTAAGAACTGATTGTTACATGGATAAATGTGACCCAAACAGGCTGAGATCAAAGAAACTGGACTAAATCCAACAATTATTTCAAATAAATGGGTTTGTGATAAAATAAAACTTGGGTTTAGAGCTCTAAAAACTGGCAGAGTCAACCAAAAACAACTTTCAAGTAGCTGTGCTGTATAGTTACATGGAAACTACAAAGACTGAAATTTTGAATTTTCTGGTTGATGGTCTCAGGCAAGCACCCCCAATTTAGGCATATAAGTCCCTTTCTGTGGGAGGGGTGGCTTGGCCACCAGCCAGCAATTCAAATTTCAAACCAGTCAGCCTCACAATTCCAGAAGGGGGGAATTTGGAAAGCTAGAGATTTGTGCCGGATATATGATGATGGGTAGCATGCTGAACTTGGCCTGATTTCAACTATGACCTAGCAATCATTTTTTTTTTGATGAGTAAATTTCAGACTCATAAGAATGGACATTATTTTGTGTTTCAGGACTGGTATGTTTTGTTTTTCAGAGAATAAATTCTGGAGAAAAGATTCAGAATTCGATTTACTGGTTATTGTAGTTAATTGAATTATTTTGACAGTTTTCAGTCATGATATCCACCATAATTGACTTCAAATATTTCTATTCTAAACTATTGGCCCTTCTTATTTCATAGAGGATAGAGAAAGAGAGACATTAACAGTATTACATATTTGAATGAATTAGTTTAGCTGTTAGTTTGGGTGATTGAATCCTCTGTTGAATTGAGTTTTGGCTAATTTTTCTCCACAATGCACTGCATTTTGGACACTTTATAAAAACTGACTGGATACAAGTTAACAATTCAAGATTTTTGATTGATGTGTTAGATAAATTGATCAACCCAAACAAAAACCCAGGGGGACATTGAGAATTGGTGGTGAAAAAAAGGTTTAGAATGTAATTTTTTTATGTTTTTTAAGGTTTAAATTGTTTGTGAGATTTCTTATTTTTGGATGCTTGCTATTTTTACTTGATTTCCCACTTTCCAGAGCCAAAATATCCATATTCATTAAACTATTTATCCGCACCCAAAAATAAGTATCAAATTTGAATTTGTTTTTCCATTCCTCAGGGAATTGGTTTTTGAACCATATTCCGCATATTGCTTGAGATATTGTATACACTGACTCTGGGTGCTGAAGCAGCTTGATCATCCAAAGCTGGACAGGTCCAAATTGATCCTCATCCAACCTCGTCAATTTTGTTTTCCCCAACACAGGAAGGTAATCTCCTGGATTGAATGTCTCTTGAAAAAGCCAAAGCATTAGCTGCTTATGGTTTTCCCTGTAGTCTATAGGAGTCGAAAGATGTTGATTGAAGTTATTCCAGAGGACCCGGTGTATGTGGTTCACCCATTTGTGCAAATTGCTAAAACTCTGCAGAAACATTTCGCGTCCATATCTTCCCCCCGTCGAATTCAAAGGGAGTACCAATGATATCTGATCGTCAGACTTAGAATTGAGCTGTGGGATTATGGTAAAAGGGCATCCACCTATTTTAAGTGATTCAGTGCCAACCGGTAAGAATTGGGTTTCTAGATATATATCGTTGATGGTTTCTTGATAGTATTTTTGGTACTGATTGGCGACGTGACCGTACTCTTCGTCTTGATTTGTGTTGAGTGAAGCTTTCAATTCGCTTCTTAGCAAGCCAAAAACGCCAGATAAGGTCGATACACCACGCCTGGGACGATCAATATTTAGCATCTTCTGAAAGGCATCATTGAGCTCATTTGCAGACAAGATCTTGATATCTGTCCAGAATCCGATTCCTTTTGCGGTTTCATGGTGGTTGTGTGGAAGCTTCTGCAAAAGTATGGACTGGTCCTTGCATGCTCGCTTTGGCTGCGGACTCCCACTACCCTGTGTGGGCTGGTCAGACGGGATAATTATCGGGTGAAATTCTTGCATGCAGCCTGATAGTGCCTCGGGGCAGGAAGGGTTCAACTCGTTGCAGTCGTAAATGTCTGAAGGCCGTGCTCGTTTCAGATGGGTTCCTTCTTCATAGGTGAAGGACTGATCCAGATTTCCTGATGAATCCACTTCAATATCTGCCGCCAGCCTCTCCGCAAAAGCTGCCAACCAATCGTCTTCGGGGTAGAGGCAGGCGATCGTAAGCTGTAACCATAAGAGGAAACAAAGTAAATGTGAAAGGGACATGATGGGGCGAGGAGCCTATGGAATGATCAATCAATGGAAAAACGAGACAGAAGACAAAGGCCAGCTGATTCCCAAAGGGGAAAGCAAAAATTGATTTGACGAATGTCAACTTAACAGCACAAGATACTAGGAAAACTTGTTTTTCTCGAATTGCCAAAACAAGCTCCTAGACTGAAGCAGCCATGTCTCTCATTTTATACGTCTTGAAAATTCCAAACCAGTTTGTGAGGCATGTATGACCAAGTCCAACCCCAGTCCTATTCTACAGACACCCCGATGGATCGTCCGTCAGCCTCAATTTCTCAAAGCAGGTTCTGCTTCAGGGTCGGTGAAGCAGAGCTCCCGGAAGAAACCACATCGACGTATGATATTAGGCAACATACTTTCTGCCTATAGCAAAGTCACCTTTTCGGAAAGATTGGCACTGAATAGATCAAGTTGAGTCATCAACATTTCAGGCCACTCAAGTCGCCTATGTCCTTGAAAGAGTGACATGGTCTGCTCCGCCATGTCACAAATCTCTGAATCTGCCAACAGGATGAGGGAATGTATTTCTTTGCCAGGCTCACTACTTTTTTTTTAGAAATCTGTTATACCGACTCCCACTATTCCAAGTATCAGGGGTCACCCAAGTCATGGTTTTTTCCTTCTGCCCAAGAAACAGGAAAAACATTTGAGCTGCAGCAACTGTTTTTTGCTATATTCACCAATCGACAAATAAGAAGAACAGGATTATGTAGGTTTTTGTACAGCTGTTGTGTAAATGATTGCGCTGATTTCTGAACTTTTTTTTTTTTTTTCTCGCGCGCAACTTTTTTTTTTTCCCCGATCCTCGAAGCCCGGCCCCGCCTGTGCAAAGTACCGCGGAGCACACACCGGGTGAGACCACCCGATTTCACCCGATCAGCCGAAGTTACGGAAGCCCTGGACCGACAGAATCGCGCCAGCGATTTTTGCCACCGAATCGAGTTTTGGACTTCGCGTTTCAAACTAGGTAGCCGAAGTCCTCAGATTTTCTTTTCCCATCGAGTTCTGTATCGACCGATGACCTCCCAGCTAACCCCATAGCACAAAAAAAAAACCAAGGCCCGAACTGCAACATGGGCCCGCCCGATCTCCAGACAACATTTCCACACTCTGCTGACGACGAGGGGATGGCACCAAAGACGAGCCGATAAGACATCAAGTTCAGCTCCTTCTCACACCTCTTGATCAAGCCTGGTCACCGCTAGCAACAGAGGAATAGTCGTACTCCTCCTCCGAATTTGAGTTCATCTAACTCGCCTTTTCACATCAAGTCCTTGGTAAGTCAACCCTCTGTGAACCCAATCCATAAAGTCTTCACTGAAAAAAAAAATTCACTTCTCAACAGTCAAACAGAGATAAACTGCACAAATCAATCGACTTTTGCTCTTATTCCATGTCTACATCCTCACCCTCCATCAAACGTACCGAGCATCAATCCCATTCGAAAGGGAAGAAGGGTATCAAGAAATAAGTCGCCGATCGTTCCACTCATAGAGGTGTGTGCAGATTCATCTGAGGGCTTTCCCTCCTCACGTTGTGACAGGCGTATTCGCTTGATTGCTCATTGATTCTGTCTAGATTGGTACAATGTTAAGGCTCCTTTAATGTTCAAGAAACAAAACACTGGCAAGACCCTCACCAACCGATCTGCTGGAACGAGTCAGTCTACCCTGCTCAATCGCCCCACACCTTACCAGTCAGATTACTGATCATTCATCACATCAGAGAACGCCAATGACTCCTTGAAGGGCTGTATCGTTGAACTTTCCCTCGCTGATCTGAATAAGGATGAGGAACGAGGTGAGTTTGACAGAATGCCACCCTTATGTTTTCAAATACCTCTAGAACCGTTTGTTTACCTGGTACATCCCCCTTTGTTTCAGCCTGTATGATTCTTAAGAACTCACACGAACAATGAATTCGCGGATGCCTTCAAGTTCAAACATAGTGCCACCTCTCTTGCCTTCAGATTCCAACACGGATCATTTTTGCCATCAATTTGCGAGCAGCTGCCAAAGGTCAGTCTTCCCATCTTGTTATGATTTCTTATCTCATTAGGTTCCTTGTCCTACAAGCTCAACTGCCATTGGATCAATGGAATCAGAAACTGAGAAACACAAAGTCAGTCACTTTAAGGTTTGTGGGAAGTATCCCACAGATCTTGGTAGCTGTACCGAGTTAGTATCAGTTGAAAATTGGCTTCAATACCAATGTGCAGTTGGGCATACAGCATGACCATGGGGTCGATTGTAGCCTTTTTGTTTTGGAATCCTGTTTGTTTTAATCCAACCATCTGCCCCCCCTCCCTCTTTTCTGGACCTATCATGTTCCTGAAAATTTCCATAATGCCCAGTGCAACATTTGACTGTTTATCAGAAGAATTCCAGGGTTTTTGGTGGCTACACAAAGTGGTAACTTCATTCTTATCTTGCAAGCAGATGGGTTATTTCTGGTAAGGAGAGAATTTTCCATCCAATGATTTCGTTTTGAAAGAAAAGGACAGGATCACAAGATGTCTGGAAACAAGTCCAAAATGATATGTACAATGGAATAGAAAGACTATTTACAATGAGTTAAAATAAGAAATATGAAAGGGCCTGGTAATCTATTTTTAGGTGCCATGAATGAACTGGTGAAGAAGTGAATCACGAAAGGATTTCCGGTAAGTCACTATCATCAGAGGCTTCTGAGCCACTGAAGACTCCTCGATTCTTTGAGGCAAGGATCCTGTCGAATGCAAGTGGTTGCCGAGGAGTGGGACGTTTCCACTTCAAATCTACTGCCTTACCTCCCTGACCCAAGTTCAGAATATTACAAACTGTTGAACAGACATGTTCATTCAAAAATGCATCGATTCCTGTACCAGCACTGTTGCCCTCAGCCCAAGCACTTTGAGAGAGTCAGTTTACATGACAATAAGAAGGGCAAGCATCAAGAAACTTACTTAGCATTCAGATCAACCACTTGTGGATCAGTGAGGATGGGACCAAAGCCCTGAAGATCACAAACCAATCGCTGCCCTCTTGACTGATTGTATGACCAATGTGTCAATGCATTCATGAGTGAAAGGTAATCGGGATCCATTCCCTTCTGGTTTGGTGATACATGGAAGTTTAGATTGCTCGAATATTTGACAAAATTTCCATCGAGGTGACTTTCAAAAAAGTAGACTTCATTGGGTTTATCTATTTCCCCTACCACAACAACACAGTGTCTCACAAGCTGGATGATAAAAGGTAAGCTTTTGATCGGAAAAAAGGAGATTCACTTCAGGTGATAGGCTTACTTCAATTTGACTTCCTTTAATCTTCAGCAGACCATCAAGTTTTTCACTGATGAGGTCCTTAAATTCTGCCAGGATCAGGCCAAAACCCCGATAGGTGATGGCATCACTGGCATGATTAGATACATTCGGTTGGGGGTCAGAATAACGAATCTTGGCAACCCATTTGTTGATGACCTCTTGCCCATTTTCTGATGAGCGTACTTGAGCTGGATAAGATTGACAACTACTACCCTCGCCTACATGCTTTTTCCTATCTACTTTGATGTCGAAAGGGAAGGTGACAGCGTGGATGTAATCATTGATAACATAAGACTTCTGGTTTGCTTCCGGTGGGGGCTGTTCTTCAATCGTATAGAAATGTAACCTTTGCGCTACAACCCATCCATCAGTCTTCATGGTGATTGACTGACTCACTGGGTGGCTGAGGGTGTCGACTTGTGCTGATAAGCCAGCTGGTCCCCGAACTGGTTTGGTCGCAATTTTCCCACCAAGGGCCCATGTGGCAGATTTGGATGTCTTGGGTGGATCTGCATTATATTTTCTCTTGCGGTTAGTACGTGTCTCGGTTGGTAGCACAGTATCCGGAAAGGCTTCGATGGGATGCTGATAAAATAAATTGATGACTGCGGCACTCTTGATTGTCTTTCCAGTTCGGGCAAGATCTAAGAGGGTGCCATGGTTTTCAATCTTGGAATTGAGTGTTCCCAAGCAAGTGTATTGTTCTGGATCAGGGGGAAAAGTGATTTCGGTTTTGGCTAGGATTTCTTCAGAAAATAGTGTCCATAGATGATGTCGGAAGTCTTCATAGAAGTTGGGCTTCTTGGTATCCACCTCCAAGACCTTTGGAATGATCCCCGTCTTCTTTTGTGGTTGATCATCAATATAAACTGTGACACCGGCTTTCACAAACCGCTTTTCAGGTGATTGCTTGGGATCGGGGGTGCGAGAAGTACTGGCACGGCTAGATTTGGTAGCTGAAGCCTCGCGTTTTTTGACCCCACGGAGCTCTTTGGCGATTCCTCGGTAGAAAACATGAGTCCCAGTATCATGAGGAGTCGAAACACGTCGTGGAGCCGCAGAGTAAGCTGGGCCAGCGGTGTGGATCCGGCTGGGGAGGATTTGGGTATGAGGAGCTGAGGGACCAGAAGGGGATGATTGGTTTGCTTGGGAGGGACCGGTTTTAATGTGGGAAACAATACATTCAAGGCAATGGTTGTCAAAATGCTTCTCAGTCGACCATCGGTTGCACTTGAGGCATTTGAGCATGTCACCCATGGGAGAGATGAATTTCAAAGAAGTCCACGAGATTGGGATGAAGGCTTATTGTAATCAATGTGGATTTGGTAGTAAATGTGAAAAAACTATTGTTGATGAGCTCAAGGAGGGTGATGTGTGGGCTAAATATCTATTGAAAGAGCAGAAGTATTCCTTATTTATATTCCTTCAGAAGCTAGCTCGCTGACTGAAATACTGGAGGACTTCCCGTCGGATCTGGGAGCCTCGCAGTTTCCGATTTAGACCCAAAAAGTCTAGATTTTTGCAGGGAAATCTAGCTTTTTCGGCTCTAAATCGAAACTGGGAGCCCCGCAGATGTTGACGGGAAGTCATCCACTAGTGCTCCAATCCGTGTCAAATTATTTCATGCATGTGAGAACAGGCAGGATAACTGGCTGGCCCTATTCACCGTGGTGCATGGCAAGAATCAAACAAGGCGGATGAGAATGCCATGGTTGCAGGAAGATTTCTGCAAATTCGGTTAGTGATGACAGACTAAAACATACAGTTTGTATCTAGGCACCAGTGATGCCTGGTAATGCCTGGTATCTTCCCCGTGGAGAATCAGTTTATTTTCAATTGTGAAATTGAAATTAGAGATGGTCGAAGGGTATCCGTCGCGGATACCCGTTATCCGCTGGCGGATACCCGCCTGTGCCAACGGATACCCGCCAGCGGGTGCGGATGGCCCCTTTTCCGCAAATCGCCGGCGGGTATCCGGGTATCCCAAAGGATACCCGCGGCCGGGAGGGGAGATGGCCGGCTGGAAGGAGACCCTTCCAGCCGGTCCGTCGCCGGCCCTTTAGAGGGCGGGTATCCGAGGATACCCGCTCGGATACCCGCTGCGGCCGACGGATACCCGCTAGCGGGTGCGGGTGCGGATGCGGATGTGCAATTTCGCTGAAATTGCCATCGGATATCCGCATCCGGACGGGTATCCGGATGCGGACCGACCATCTCTAATTGAAATCATGACCGTATGGGTGGTCACCGGACTAGATGGGTCCAAGTCCATATGGGGATGGTTGCCCAACCATGGGGCATTCGATCTCAGACCTTCAAGGCCGCCCAATATTAATCATCTCTTGTGATGCTGTTGCCAAGAACAAAAAGGACAGGAGACACATGGTCATCATTGACTTTTCTCCGTTCGATTTAATCTTGTTTGACTGTTTGTATTTTGGGCTACAGAAGGGTTGCATGCGATTGATACTAATCAAAATACTCTTACAATGCAATTAGCTAGGTGCAACGTCAACAAGTACTACAACTGGCCCTGAACAAGGTGGAGGCATTAATAGTACAGCTGATGGCTGCCCAAAGGCTTGTTTGAAGCGATCCACGAATTGTGCTCCTGAAGGACAAGCTGAGCCAGGCCACATGTGAATCCAGCTAAGCCAGGCTGGGTCCAACACACATGGGCAGCATTGATGGCCTTGGATTGAGGAGTAAATTGATTGTTTTGATGCTCCATCTTGATTCAGGCAATCACCCGGTGGACTAACCAACTTGACATCCTCATCCTCGTCACATTTCCATAATTTCCCTCAGCAGCTACCCTTCATATTCCATACTCAAAATCATGGATCTGGATGTCACTACCTCTGACCCTACCAAAATTATGGGCTCTGATGATGCAACAACACCACCGAGTTCCCCCCCACCCCCAATCATACTTACCAACGACGATAAACGTGACATTCTGGCATCTCTGCTACAATAGGGTTGGAAAGGACCAGATATCCTCATAATTCTTCAAGAAAATTATGGCTGGACTATTTCCCTGCGTTCTCTCAGCCGACTCCGCCAAACGTGGGGCCTACGGCTCAAAGACCTTCCACCCCAGGATTCTTTACTCCCTGCGACTCGTGCAAGTCTCATTTCAGCACATCGAAATGGTTTGACAGTTTTCGAAATGCGCTCCCAACTTCTGAGTGAAACAGGAATGGATGTCTCTACCCGCACTGTGGAGCGATATCTGAGGGTGCTTGGCTTGAAACAACGGCAAAATGACTTAGCTGATGGAAAGATCACCAGGGAAGGGGTTGTCGAGCACATCAGGCATGCCCGTGATGCACTTCTGGCAAACTCAGCTGGCTACCGAAGGATGCGGCAGATTCTGGTGACCAACTATGGTCTCCATGTACCTAGGTATGCCTTATTCTCTGGAATCAGTGGCTTGATTACACAAAATAATTTTCCTTCATTTATAGACAGGTGGTATATGACATTCTCAAAGAGCTGGATCCTGAAGGAATGGAAATGCGCCTTAAAAAGACATGCAAAAGAAGAGTCTTCCGGACCATTGGTCCCAATCACATCTGGGCTGCGGATGGGCACGACAAATTAAAGCGTTTTGGAATCACGGTTTATGGATTTATCGATGCATGGTCCAGAAAAGTTTTAGGAATCTTTGTTCATGTGACCAATAATGATCCAAGGCATATAGGAGTATACTTTCTCCGATTGGCCAGGGATCATGGGGGAATACCACAAAAAGTGACTACAGACAAGGGGACAGAAACCGTAATCTTGGGTGCTTTCCAAGTCCAACTGTCCTACGAATTCATTCCAAATATATCCCTTGAAGAGGCCAAGAAACACATGCATTATACCAAGTCCACCCACAATCAGAAAATTGAATCATTATGGTCAAGAATGATGACAGAGCACAACAGGCCAGTGATTGATAACATTTTGCAGCACATGGAAAATGGGAGTTATGATGACAGTGATGCATTACAAAAGTAAGAAATTAACCCCATTCCAATTTCATATGAATCTCAAGCACTAATGAATTTTGGGGCCAGACTCCTCTTTCTTTTCCTATGGGTACCAGCATTCCAAGCAAGTGCAGATAGCTGGCTTGTTGCACACAATTCCTTCCGCAAACGGAAAGACAAGAGGATTTCCCTGCCAACTGGAGTCAAACCCATCTTTTCTTATTCAAATCCAGCACATTTCAATACTACAGACCAGCTGGTTCCAGTCCCACAGGAGAGAATTGATGAGCTTCTTGAGGAACACTATCCCAATCCAGAACCAATGTTCACCCACACCCCAGCTTTCTTTTACAACATTGCCTTCCCTATGTTCACAGAAATGGGCTACCAATTTCATAGTTTAGAAATTGGAAGACTTTGGAGGGTTTTTGATGCTATGCTCCCACGTCTGCAAGTATATTTCCCTCCACACTTTTTTTCTGACTCATCTGATGAATTTTCTGAAGTTGGCCAAGATGGTGAGTCAGCAGGCTCAGATTCCTAGTGCATGCTTGTTCTTTCACATGTGTTATATCTTGTAATTAGTTGTAATTATGTTTTACTAGGGTTCAGAGGCTGCTGTGCAATCTGGTCCACCCCAAACATCTGGAACCCTCAAAATTTTGTCACTCCACAATCATTACTTTATGAGACCCACATCAATTGCAAAATTTCCATTATTTGAAGACTTGTATCTCATTTCAAGCTCAGATTATTCCAATAGAAATTTCAAGCAGCGTGAGGTTTTCACCCTGCTTGAAGTCAAAAAGGTGTAGACTATCTTTCAAAATGCAGACAAACAAATCTTGAAATTCAAGCAGTTTTATCATCCAAATTTAGAATCAGATTTTTGGGCCTTGTTCAGAAATTGTACAACTGGGTTAATCCCAGACTCACTAGATACTGGTGTGCAGCTTGTGTGTCCAAGTTTGTGGGAAGAATGATCATGACAATTCACAAACCATAACATGATGAAAATTCAAAATTCAAAGTGACAGATATGGCAGGACTGTGATTCATCTAAAATTTAATATTGTTGCTTGGGATCAAAGAACCTCTTGCACATCTCCAATTTGAATGAAACCTAAGTTAGATTGTATGATGACTTGGATTGAACCCAAAAGTGCTTGCTGATTGGACCCTGTCATCAGGTGGCCAATTGCAATGATGTTGGCCATGTGAGGGGGTTAACTCAGGTAAAGACAAACACACATTGATGTATGGATTCCCACTGGCACAGGGGACATGAATCATGCCAACCCCAAATCGTGATAGATTTGGGAGAATGGAGAAAAGTCTTGCAACGGGTCATTTGCTTCAATTAGGAACTGATTCCAGGGTTGTGGTGAGGGTCTACTCACTCAGGGGCTTAGTCACCTAGAGATGGACCAGAGCGAGATAATTATGGTGGGGCCCATTCATAATAAGCAAAACATATAAAGAGGCCTGGTGTCAACTTGTCCAGCCCATCAGACATTCACAATCACAATCCTAAACATTCAATCACCCAACACAATCCGAAAGACATAAAATCCATAGCGACTCGTGACCGTAAATACAATGTTTCAATTGATCACCAAGGGAATCACAGAATTCCCCGATTCACTGGAATTTTCGGGATTATTTAGAGCATCTCATAGTGTAAGCCAAATATTTTGTTATGTGGTGGATTTGTTGGCTAACTTTTGATTAGTCAGATGTTTCGTGCCTTGATAAGAGAAGTGGCAAACAGTTTCAAACTGCATCATCAGTTCCCCCAGGTCTTTTGGAACTTGGTCCCGAGGATCATCGGAACATCAGACTCACTTACAGCGGCACATCTATGCATCAGTTGACAAATGGGACAGTTTACTGGTTACGAGGCACTGTGGTGGGATGCCGTCGTCATGAAATGCCATACCTCAAGTGCAATGAAATGGCACTTTCGCCCGAGATGGATCCGTTAGTTGATAGTGAATCAATAAAAATCACTGGGAAAGGCACAATTGTTGCCCAATCCGATGGGAACCAGGCAGGCTTTGACTTGATTGTCCAGCACGAAGTTGGAGTCTGTACTGTGAGTCACACATGTAATCATCAATCCAAGTTTCATCAGTGCCTTCGCTCAAAATGATGTGTTACACTTAGGCCTTTGGGGACCATGTGGTTATGGTCAAGTATGTGGCTCTCCAAAGTAGACGTACCAAAAAGTTTGAGACATTACTAAAATCGGGTCAAAGGGGGCACTTCGGAGGGGTTTTAGCTGGGTGGGACAGGCACCATGACATGATGATTGTCAAAGTAAGTTTCCAAAAATAAAATTTCCTAATCACTGAGGTCTAATGTTGCTTCCAATTTTGATCCAGTTGACTGAAGTGACAATTGGAGGAACCCAAAAATGAAATGTCCCACTGCCACATTTCACCATTCACTCCACCCTTTGGATTCATGCTGGGAAGCACGAGATATGTTTGATTTTAACCAAGAATTGTGTCTAATAATACTATCTCCCATGTTTGCACGGCACATCTTCTGCAAAATACCCTGACTTGGGGTTGATATCACTCATGTTGTGAGAGTTCAGGGAGGTTTCTTTCCTGTTAGTTTAAGGAAGACATTTGAATTGCACTATTAAAGCCCTTCGTCTCATAGATTGCATGCAAACTTGATAAGAAGGCACATTAATTAAAACCAAATAATAAACAAAGGGAAATGCACAAATTTCAGAAATAGAAAGACAACCATTCTCTATGCTTTTTTGGTTTTCTTGGCATTTTTTTGTGCCTTTTGTGCTTGTTTTTCTTTCCATGCTTGACAGTCTTCAATAACCTTATTTGTATCACGGAAAAAGGCCTCCTTCTTAGATTCATAATATAGGTTCTGCAATCGAGTGATGGTTTGAAGGGAGGTTGATGGAATTTCAGAAGACACACCAAGACGGCTATGATGAGATTGGGAAGTAGAAATTTCAGTGCGATGACTAAATTTATCAGCTTTCCAAACCATTTCAACAATTCCGTCAAATCCGGCAAAATTTAACCCAAAATTGTCCTCCGGAAATAGGAAGTTCCCTCCATCGACATTCAAGTTATCGGTTACTAAGCTTCCGTCTTGCACGTTGATTGGGAGCCATAAACCAAATGTGTAAGTTGAGGAATCTCTATCGCAGTGCGGTTTGTTGTGAAAATTGTTGAAGGTGAAACTGAGATGTGATGCAAAGGAAAAGTCATTCACTTCAGCAAACGAGGTAGAAGAGATTGATGGCAGTTTGAGGTCTTTATGTCGAGATCGTAACGTTTCGTAAAGGTACTGCGACAAGTTGGAGAATCGAGTAGCAAGAAAGGCTTCATGGTCTTTCATTTGTTCTTGAAGGAGGGAGTAATGTTCCTCATTCCCTGCAATCTTGGGAACTGCCGCAGAAATGCCGAGGATTTCGTTCTTCGTGTAAGCCTTGCACCAGCCGGCATTGAACATGGTTCCACCAAGGGTGTTCCCATTGATCCCATTCGCATAGAGGTACTTGGATTGAGCGATGAGGTGCATGCTAAAACCTTCGAATTGTTTGAGGAGGGATTCATCGATCTCAGAGAACTTGGTGAAGCGTACCAGACCGCCAACTTCTTGATTCTTGTTTCGGAGGAGAATTTCGTTCTTCTGGACAAGTCTTATGGGTTGGGGGGTGGAACGTGGGTGATGGATGGAGAACTGGGACAAGTCGACTAGCTGGCGAAGATTGTTCAATCGCTTCGTCTCCTTTCCCTTGTTCCTGTTGCGATTCCTCTTCTGTTTCCTGGTCAATTTGGGTTCAGATTCCCCCTCAGTATCCTCACCAAGATCTGTGGGATACTTCCCACAAACCTTAAAGTGATGGACATTAGGATCGTCTTCACTCCCAGTTAGATTGACACTCTGAGGAAACATCAGAGGGATTTATTTGAGGTAGCAAGTTGATTCACAGATGTGATTGTTGTGTGAAAGGGTGGCTGATGTTGATTGATGAATGTGATAGGTTGGAAATGGACAGAGCCCAGTAAGATTGATAGGAAGAATATCCGGAATCCTAGACTAGTAAGGTTTATCAAAGTCAGTGATAGGGCTCATATTTATAAATGTAGATCAAGCAATCTCCTGTGCAGGGGGGTGTTGGTGGTTCTATCGGCAAATGAACGGACTTACCAGTGAGGGTTGGGATGGTTGTGCTACGGTTGGGGATCTCAACAGCGACTAAAAGAGTGATGCTAAATAGAAATCGGGCTGTGAGGCGAATGTAAGAACCCACAAACAATCAGAAAAACATAGCATGTATCTATAGGATCTCACATGGTCTGGTTATGCCAAGGATGATGCACGTCGTCCTCGGGGAATCCCAAAAGTTGTGATGTGAGGAATATTTGAAGCCCAAACAAGACGGATGTAGCCTGGGCAAGGGTTCTGATGAGTCGAAGGCAATTTGGCTATGTAGAAGATTACTCAGGTTCAGTGCAAACAAAGAACTAAGTTAGTTAATCAATGGAATGAGGAACAGCTTACTTCTCTAGGTGATGAATCAGGTAACGGATCTCAGCTATCAATGAGCAGGACACCAGAGGGAGCTAAATCTAACTGGGAGATGGATGCATCAGTTAAAGGAAATGCAGGTCACAGAGCAAAATGAACCTCACCATGTGCGAGTTGAGCTGAATTTGGCCAGATTGAAGAAGGATCGAAATGGATGAAGACGTAGGTATTGGTGTGGAGGTGGTCAGGAGTGTAACTTCGGGTTCGAGCCAACCACTCTTGGTGAGAGTGGCGACTGAGGTTCAATTCCCCAAGTAGTCAAGAGCAGCAGTCAGAATTCAAGAGTCGCAACTTCGGGGCCCCGCTGCTGCAAACAAAGTTGTGGGCCGGGTCCAGATGAGTCAATTGACCGGGCCTTGGTTTTTTTTTGTGCTATGGAGTTAGCTGGGAGGTCATCGATTGATACAGAACTCGATGGGAAAAGAGAATCTGAGGACTTCGGCTACCTAGTTTGAAACACGAAGTCCAAAACTCGATTCGGTGGCAAAAATTGATGGCGCGATTGTGTCGGTCCAGGGCTTCCGTAGTATACATTTTTTTTTTCGGGCTGAGTCGGTCATGATAATCGGTGGGTAATCTCCTGCAAATTTACCCGGCGGGCTCGGGGCTTCGAGGATCGGAGGAAAAAAAAATGTCGCGCGAGGAAAAAAAAAAAAAAAGTTCGGAAATCGGCGCAATCATTTACACAACAGCTGTATATGAATCTAACTTCACTGTAGTAGACACCGGAATGCTATGTCAAACTTGGGGTGTTAAAAATTAAATCAGTTGATGGAACATAGCAAGCCAATTTTTGAATATTTAAAGAGAGTGCATACTTGGACTTCCAAAATTCTGTAGGTGACTTGGCCAGTAATCTCAAAACAGCTTTTTTTACTTATTCTACATTCCGAAGCATTCAGGGTCCATCTCAAGATGAGAGAAATTGGCTTTTTGGTTGGATAGGCTAGTAGTCTATGTACCTCTGTTATGCAAAGTTAAGACGGGCTTTTCTTGGGGATTTCTGTCTATGATAAGCTTGATGGTTGCAAGAAGACCACACCTCGGGGGTTTTTTTTTTTTTTTTTTTTTTTTTTTTTTTTTTTAAGTGCAGATTTGGTTTAACATTGCGCACTATGCATATTCATCTGATTGACAAAGACAGTTGTGGATCTACAACCGTGCATATGTAACTAGAATAATAGAAGGATGACTGTTTTTCTGTAGGGAGTATACTAGCAGGAATATTGAGGAGAGAAGGAGAAAAAGAGAAGAAGAAAGATGAAAGATGAAAGAAGAAAGAAAAACAAGAAAAGGGAAAAGAGAAGGCAGAGGGGGGTGCAAAAGGGAAGCAGAGGATGGACAGGGTCGGGGGGAGTCACTGGGTTGCTGAAAGGGGGTGTCACTGAAGAGATCCTTCGGCGTCCTCTCTCCGTCTGAATTGAGGTAGTCGGGCTGAGATTTGAACGAAAGCTTCGGTTGCCTTGAAGGCCCTAGGGTTGTGGAGGAGAGACCTGGTTGAGATCTCTGTTATTCTCTCATCTCGGAGGATCCTTCTGGCTACCGTCCTAGCCTTGTTGAATCTAGAACAGGAGACAAGGTAATGATCAACTGATTCGGTGGTCCCGCACGTTGTACATATCGGATATGGGACTTTTTTGCATTTGAATTGAAAAGCATTGAGGGGTACATGACCTGAGCGTAATTGGTGGATTGCAGATTGGATTGAGAAGGCCACCCACGGTGACCTCTTCCACAGTTGTTCCCTCTGGATCAGAGCTGTTTTTTCAGCAGCCAAGCTACCCCTGATTGAGGTATCAAGGAAGGCAGGGTTCCGTGCCTCTGCAGCCTTCCTGTCTGCCAACTCGTTGCCCACGATTCCCAGATGGCCTGGGCACCAGCGAATCATGATCTGTGTTACTGGAGGAATGGTGTCAGCAGCATCCTGGATTTGTGATAAGATGTACTGGCCCGGTTTGGGCGCCCCAGGTTTCTTCAATCTGTCAATAGCGGCTTGGCTGTCCGTCAAGATTATTATCCTGGCCTTGGGGTTCTGAAGGTGAGATGAGCTGCTAAGCTCTAATCCGAGGCGGATCCCGACCAACTCGCATTCAAAGTTTGAGGCTGTGCCCGTCGGTCCCAAAAAAGCGAGTCTGGATAACTTTCCGTCCCTTGAAACTGCAGCCGCCCCTAACCCTTCTTCCGGATGGGCGGAACCGTCAGTAAAGATAGCCAAATCAGATATAGGGTCCAAGGAATCAAGGAATGAAAGGACTGTCTGTTTGGCCTCCTGTTTGCCACCACTATCAATCACCAGTTCCAACTTCCTCTCGACTCTCCAGGGGGGGTGTTCTTCCCGAATGTAATTGACCTCCTCAAGTCTTTTTGCCGCTAGGTGAGCCAAGGTCTTGCGATTGAGGGAGGCGTGGACCGGGCTGGGGAAAGGCCTAGCCTGCCACAATAGTTCCGTCCTTATCTGTTTTTCAACTGGTGAAGGCTTGTGAGTTATCCTGGTCATCTTAGAGAGGAAGAAATTAGTGATTCTGTTGTCTGCAGTCTTAATGAGGCTTCTAAAGGGACGGTACTTGATTGGCGTGGATTTCATGACTCCCAAAGCAAAGCGAGCAGCAGAGTGCTCAATCTGATTCAGTAAATTTGCTACCTTCTGCCTGTTCAGTGAGGTGAACCAGATCTGTACGCCATACAAAACCCTTGGAACAAGCACAGCAGAGATCAGGAGTCCGCGTTCCTGTTCTCTTATCCCCCACGTTGAGGAACCAATCTTGAGGAGTTGTCCTAAGGTGTCGTCGGCCTTCTTCTTCACCTGAGTCAATTGTTTACCAAAGGTCAGTTTCTCATCAAGCCACAGGCCCAGCCATTTGACGTCCCGTTGCGGCTCCAGCCTCTGACCATCAAAGAGGAAGGGAGACTTAGCCGATCTGGAATTTGTGAATACCATGTATTGAGCTTTACGGCTGTCAAAGATAGCCCCATGGCTCCTACCCCACCGGAGTGAATTCTCCCCTAGCTGTTCCAAAAGGGCCCTGGCAGACCCGACCGTCCTTCCTGCTGTGAGGTGGACCACGTCGTCAATGAAGCCCAAGGAGACTTGGTCCCTGTCAAAGTCAAAACTTTTGATCAATAAATCTGAATTGTATAGGATGTATAGAATAACTGATAAGGGGGAGCCCTGGGGGAGCCCCTTCTCAATGGTGAACTCAGCTGATTCGTAATCAGCTAGGCGAAGTTTTGTACGTCGTCCCTCCAAGAATCGACTAATGATCTTCCATAGGTAGGTGGGACATCCTTTCTGGCGAAGGGAGTGGACCAAGCGACGGGGATTGACTGAGGGGTAGGCCGATTTGACATCAAGGAATAAGGCCTTTACCGTCTTACCCTCCCTCCATTTGCGTTTTACCCACATGGTGAGTGCCATCATCGCATCCTCGCAGCCCTTCCCTCGTCGCCCACCGGAGTGTCCGTCGGGGATGATTTCTTTGTAGAGATGGTCACTTTGCATCCGGATATCCGTGCAGATCCGGATATCCGCTCTTAATTTCAGCAGAATTGCCTAATTCCACTGAAATTATGAGCGGATATCCGGATCTGAACGGATATCCGGATGCATAGTGACCATCTCTATTTCTTTGGTCTCTGCCCAGAAAGTGAGACGGTCAGCTATGGCGGACTCAAAAACTTTTCCAATTGTGCTCAGGAGAGCTATTGGGCGGTAGGCTCCCGGGTCAGTGTAGTCAGGTTTCCCAAACTTTCGGATGATAACTGTAGTCGCTGTGCGCCATGCATCAGGGAAGTGATCCTCCCTGATGCACCTGTTGAAAAGGGAGGCGAGTGTGTCAGCCAGTTCAGCCTTAGCGAGTGTAAGGAGCTCATTGGGGATGCGGTCGGGGCCCATGGCCTTCTTTTTTGCCAATCGACTTAGAATCTTCAATACCTCTTCTTGGGTGAAGAAGGGGTATACCACAAAGGAGGAGTGCTCTGTCGGGGGGACGTCTGATAGATCGCATGCGCTGTTGACTACCGATGTGCCTGTAAAGAGGAGTTGGGCTTGCTCCTCCTTGCTCGAAGTGATGGTGCCTGTCGGTCCTCGTAGTGGGAGCACTCCCCCTCCGCTTCTAGGTTTGGTGAATTGGAAGGCCTGGTAGACCGTTGTCAAATCCGTCGATGCCAGGAAGTCGCACCAGTGCCGCTGCTTGAGGCTGCTAACTTCTTCGCAAAACCTGTTGTTCCAGTAGTTAAAGCGATCAGCATTCTCCTGCGACGGTGCCATCACGAGGAGCCGGCGACACTTGTTCCTGATCTTAACAAGGGGGTCAAGGATATCTCTGTTCCACCATTTTTTAGCTTTCCCATGGTTGACTCTTATTCGTTTCCCTTGTGCCTGCCACGCGGTGATCAAACTTGTAGTCAGTCGTTTTTCCACTTCATCTAAATCCAGTTGTGGGGAGACTGCACTCAGCTGGCGTAGGTTAGATTCCACCGTCTTCTTAAGTTTTTCTTGGTCAAGGTCTGCCGGCCTAGGGGCGGACACTCGATACTTCGGGGCTGGAGGGGCGTGTCGCAAAAACGTGATGAGCTTCTGGTGGTCGGAGCCGTGGTTGTCGGAGGACGTGGCCGTTCTATGGATTAGTTGAGATGCACGGAAGTTGGCCCAAGTGAGGTCAATGGTCGTCTTTGACCCTTGGCTGGATAGAAAAGTGGGAGAGTCCTTCTCAGAAGCCAGCCTGAAGCCTTGACTGCCACAACACGAGACAAGTAGCTTAGCTGTTTTGTGGACGTGAGAGTAACCCGGCGGGTTCCAAGAATGGTGATGGAGATTCGAGTCCATTCCAACAATTGTTGCGATGCGTCGGTCATTGCTGGTTACAAGCCAGGTTCGGAGATGGTCCACTCCAGTTGTCGTGCCTGGCGGATTGTAGACATTTAGGACCCGCATGCGGGTCCCTGTCAGTAGGTTCAGTTCCAAAGCAATGAAAAACTTACTACTGATACCCAGGACTTTAATGTCTTGGGAGGCAATTGATTTGCGGATATAGGTCACAATTCGGTGTTTATCCTTAAGGTCTATTGGTTGGTGTTCTGGGCTGTAAAAGGTCCACCACGCTTCGTGGTCAGGAGGAAGGCAAGTCAGTGGATTTATCCAAGGCTCTTGAATGATGAGGGAAATAACTGAGTCAGGCTCAGAATTGAGTATACTATAAGTTGTCGCTCGACTATTGTGGCAGTTCAACTGCACAATAAGGGAGGGCACAAAGTCTTCATTGCATAAAACAGAAGATTGGCTATCTACAACAAAATTACTAGAAACAATAGGTGTTAGTACGGGGTTTGTATTACTCATGACGGATATGATTTTTAGAAATAAGCCAGGCCCGCTTCACTCCACAAGCCTTGTCAAAAGGTGTGTGCGACTCCCAGCATTCCTTATCCTTCCCTCCTTCCTTACAGATAATACAAATTTTCCCTGTGGATGTTTCCAATCCTTGGCAGTCCCGAGTTTCGTGTTTTTCGCCACACTTGCCGCATTTGGGGTCGCCCCGACACCACTTGCCAAAGTGACCCATCTGTAGGCACTTGAAGCACTGGGGTGGTAGCTTCTTGAAGCGTTCGACGCGGTGGAAGCTGCTATTCAAAAATAAACCTCGCTGGCGGACCAGATTGTCAGCCAGACTTTGATCGGTGAATGCAATAACTACAGTACCTGCCTGACGCGGGTCATTTGGGTCCCTTGAGCCTCCTAGCCAGCGCATCTTGAATATTTTTTCTGCCATGAATTGGTTACCCGCTGCGATTTGAATCTTGCCAGTAGCACTGTTGACATTGAAAGCGCGTGGAATACCATGTGCCAGGATGGAGTACGTGCTGGGTGTTGCCTCTAAGTCCGGATGGATCTGCTTACTCCATTGATGTTTGTTTTTGTTCAGCCATTCCTTGTGTTGACGGTTTTTAGAATAAAAGGAAACATCACCAGATGGGAGAAAGCGGACAGCTTTGACTGTTACTTTCTCCCCTTGTACTGTAGCATTCATTTTCTCCAGAACTTCGTTCGTCTTCTGTACCACAATCTCGGCATCGACTTCCTTCAGAGGGGTGGTGCCGGTCTTGGAGTGGATGATAGTCAGGCCTGGTCGGGCGGTTACCAATTCAGATTTGGTGGGGGGCTGGGGAGGAGTCGGTGACTTAGCGGTGGTCGACGCGTAAGTCTTGCTGGGTGCTGGTGGCTTGCGCGTCAGCTGGCCTGCTTCGATGGTGGTGACGCGGGAACGAACATCTCGAAGTTCCTCGGTAACTAGTTGGAGGTCGCGGCTGCGTCTGGCCTTGCTTTCCATCAGTTGGAGGAGTAGAGCCTCGGTAGTCGCGTCAATATTCAGCGTGCCTGTTGCGCTTCGTCTAGCTGGATCGGCTCGGATCGCCTTGTAGAAGTTGAGCAGGGGGAATTCAGCAAGAGGAGGGTCCACCGGTCGGTGTGGGGCGGTCGTAGGGGAGGGTCTATCCTCAAGAGCGGTAAACATATTCACGTCCGTGGATGCGTCGGCCTGGTTGTGAATGGAGTCCGTTAACGTGCGGACCAATGGGTTGCCTGTGGGGTCAGGTGGGGGGGAGGGGGGGGGGGATCGCCTGGCGGCATGAGGGGGAGGGTAATGTTCTGTCGATGAGAAGAGGTGTGCTTTGAATTTTTGGGGGAAGGGGTGATTTTTTATTTTTTAAAAAATTCGACGTGGTTGCGGACAGAACTGGACCTCGGAGTCGGTGCCCTGGGGCTGGCGGCAGTTAAATTTTTGAGTTTGGAGTCATCGTGTCAAGAAAAGCTCCGAGATGCGGTGGAGACACTCTATTTAGACATTTTCCACCCTCCGCTTGAATATCCTCCGCCTGTTCAGTAGAGGCTGTCACCACACAACAGCATACCACTCACCCTCCTTCAGAATCAGAATTTGCTCAACCCCATCAACCTGCTACTTACTCCGGACCACCCACAGAGCTCTGTACAAACATTTCAAACCGATACGTGTTGTTGTCTGGACAATTTCGACCTGGGTGGACCCTACCGCCAACAATAATTTCTTCAACTAACTCAGCAAACCATAGAGCTATCCTCCTCCCATTGGACCAACCATGGCCCCTCCCACCACTCTCAAGACCAATAATAACGTTAAGGCTCCAGACGATGACGATGATGAGTGGCAAGAAGTAAGTGTTTTTTTATTGTTCCTTCTATTATGTCTCCCTCACCATTTTTTATTTATTTCAGCTGCTGTTTCTTTTTCTGATTAATAATACGAAGATGATGAAACCAGATCGCTGAAATGAATGTGTCTCATCCAGATGCCAGTCATTCGCCCGGACGATTCAGCATACGATGATGAAGACAAGAAGAAATTTAGATATATTCCACCTAAACGAGCCACTGCAATCAGCCCAGAGAGAGATGCGATGGAGTCCTCAAACGCGATTGGAAAACTATTAGATCTATCAGAGGCGGCCGCATCCAGAGGAGAAGACTGGCGAGAAAAGTCGAAAAACCTAGAAGAATCGAAATATACGAGGCTAGGACTTGATGATGATCCAGATGAAGACAACTTGAATAAGAAGACTCAATACCTATTCGACTACGAGCATAACATGACCGCACTCAATCAACTCCAAGCCACTAAGAATCTATTAAATGAAGCTCAGAGGATTGCTTATGTTGGGATGTGCAGCTTGGTGATGAAGGAGATGCTGGATTCCTTGAAACGTGGTGGTCACAACGAAGTCAATCCAGCCGTCGAAAGCATGAAACGATGGAGTTCCCACATCATAGACCAGCTCTGTAAGCACATGGACATCGAAACCCGTGGTACGTATCTAACCACTCTTTTACAACTATTTGTTTACTTCAATCTTCAAAAATATACATCACCAAGAACCCCAACTTATTGTAATTTTGTTTTTTATTAAAACCCCATTTCACTTCCTACAATTGTCCCTCTCTTGGTCTTTCCTCATTTATGAAAATACGCAACATTATATTTACCCATGAACTATCTCAAGAACGACAGATGATCCAGCAGTTGGCTGAACATGGTGTTTCAGCTGAAGATATTGTCGAATGTCTGATCACCACACATACGGTTAAAAATCCTAACTATGACCCAGAGGGATCTGAGTCAAGCACTTCAGACGATTCAGGAAGAAAATCATTCGAAAACTCATCAAGTCAAGCCGCCAGTGACAATGCCTCTTTCAGATCGCGCTCTAGTATGGAGAATGCTTGGACAACTAAGAACGAGAACAGCAATCCATTTGGCTCCTCTGGTAGTGATGGGTTCCGAACTTCATTCCAGCCAGGCGGTGAACCATTTGGAAGTGATCCCACAAGCTCCATACCGTGGGCCTCAGGCTCTGAACCTTCCGACCCTCCTCAATCTGATCCACCTCCCGAATTCTCAACGTCTTCCGAACCAGTGCAGGAAGATGTGGATGACCTAGAAACCCCTAGACCTACGAATCATTCCTTCCCTCCTCATTCTGAGCCGCCCAACCGAACCGAACCGCCCACTCCTGAACCCGATGAACTTCCTAACACGTTACCGGGAATCTCGACGACGATTTCTTCTTCGGATGAGATGATGACTTTAGACATTCGGTGGACGGTACTGTGCGACTTGTTTTTAGTGTTGATTGTGGATAGTATCTATGATGCTCGGTCGAGGGTATTTCTGGGAAGATGTGCCCATAAACTACGTCTTTCGTGGATGGATGTCGTTTTGTTTGAGCGGCGGTTGACCGAAGCTCTGGAAGTGGAAGAAGATGTGAGGAAGGAGAACAATGCTGAAGTGATTCAAGAACACGACCGGAAGTCGAAAAGGAAACGATTGGTGATGATGGGTGCTGCTACGATCGGCGGCGGCTTAGTGATCGGTCTCAGTGCGGGTTTATTGGCTCCCGTCATTGGGGCTGGCTTGGCTGCTGGGTTTACAACTATCGGGATCGGTGGTACCTCTGGTTTTCTCGCTGGGGCTGGTGGTGCTGCTGTCATCACGACCGCTGGAACTGTCACTGGGATGAATATTGCTGGACGGGGAATGGGTAAACGGACTCAGTCAGTGACAACCTTCAAGATCCTTCCACTGCATAACAATCGTCGAGTCAACGTCTTTTTGACCATGCCAGGGTTAGCATCACTTTCTTTTTTTTTTCTCGAAGGTTTTACTTTGTGGTGTGCTCACCTATTTATTTTTTTCTTTCTTGATCTACGCGCTTCAAATAAACAGGTTCATGGAAGGTGCCAATGATGACGTTCGATTACCATTTAGCGTAATGGATCAATCGATGGGAGATGTTTTTTCGATTTTGTGGGAGCCAGAGATGATGGGAGAAACTGGAAACATCCTCAAAATTTTAACATCTGAAGTCTTGACTCAGGTGGGACAACAAGTCTTACAAGCGACAGTATTGACGGCGTTAATGAGTGCATTGCAATGGCCCTTGATGCTCACGAAGCTCGGCTATCTGATTGATAATCCTTGGTCTAATGCTCTCGCCCGAGCCCGAGCCGCTGGTATATTACTGGCTGACATCCTAATCAAACGTCACATCGGTGTCCGGCCGGTGAGTTTAATCGGATTCTCATTGGGCGCGCGGGCGATCTTCTATGCGTTAGTCGAATTGGCTCGTCAGAAGGCCTACGGAATAGTCCAGGAGGTCTACCTCCTCGGGGCAACAGTGACTGCACCCGCCAAAACCTGGCGCGAGATTCGAGGTGTCGTCGCTGGTCGGTTCGTCAATGGGTACTGCCAAAATGATTGGATCCTCGGATATCTGTATCGAGCTACGACCGGGGGAATCCAGACCGTGGCTGGACTGAGTCCAGTGACATCAGTCCCTGATATGGAGAACGTCAACTTGACTGGAATCGTGGTCGGACACATGAGTTATCGAGCACAAATGCCAGTGGTCTTGGCAGAGCTGGGATTCAAAGTGACGGCCGATCATTTCGATGAGCCGGATGCCATGGAGGAAGATGAGGCCCCAGAAGAGGAACCGTCGGCACTGAAGACGATGAAAGAAGCCGAAGAAAAGAAACGGATGATCTTCAATTTTACCAAGAAGCTGAAGAACGTAAGGCCGACCTCTTTGGTCCTCCAGAAGTCGCAGTCCCTCTCTGGATCTGGACCTGCTCCCGAGGAAGACGACCATCCGCCACGTCTAGCCCAATCACACGCTCGCTCTGCATCATCCGCTTCCGTATCTCGGATACCAGCCTCTGACCATAAAGACAATACCGATTCTTCCCCTTCTCTTTCTTCTGACACTCCAACTAATCAAGCTCAGATGCCCAATCAACCTAACACATTTGATCTATCGGCCATCCGCTCTGAGATTGCCAAATTCACATCCACTCATTCCCCACAAGATCATCAACCTCATCAACCAGCTTCTTCTAACCCCATGTCATCCACCCCCGCAAAACCTTCTTCTTGGAACGATCCCAACACCAAATCTTCCGCCTCTACTCCTTGGACAGAATCCAATGATCCTTGGAGAACTTAAACCTTCTTCATTTTTTTCCCTTTCTATTCATCATTCATCTTCAACTGCTTTGTCGTACCATTTCGTTTTTTATTCTTCCAAAGCTTCCACGTTTTCGTTTTTTTTGTGCTTTCATTTCCTTTTTTTTTGTTGTTGGGGTTTTTTGTCTTTGTAAAGTAACTAATCAATCAATCAATCGCCATTAACTTCCTGTTTTATTCTTCTCAAACTTGATCACAACAGCATCCATGAAATCCCGTATTTACTTTGTCATTTGAATTTAACTGGGTCATTCTACGGCACACACAAACTAAGCTGTCTTTGAGTAGGTCTTGAACAAACTTCATACAAGCCCCCATTCCCTAATGGGGGCTAACCATTAGTCCCTAGTGGCTGTTGGGCCTGATGGCTTGCTGAAGGGACTTGTGGCTTGAGCACATCTTTTGCATGAGGCTGTTTCAAAACTTGATGGGAGAATCTGACATGTCCTAGTACACCACTTGGCCAAAGCTTGGGGGATTCAAACCTTGCACAGGCTGGCATCTGTCCCACAGTTGGGTACCAGCTTGTCCCCTTAGAGCATCTCCAACAGAGCTCCAATTAGGCATTCGGGGGCACTGGAGGTACACTTTTTCCAGTTTAGCACCCTGGATGAGTCTCTTTGGATTCAAGTTTCTAAACGTGTGATAGCACCCGGGTCAGCTCACGTGGTGAATATGCTCTCAATCAAAGAATTCCAATCATAAACTCTACAAAGCAAATTTTCAGCTTAAGAAGGGAGGAAAAAGAATCACCATTGAACTACCAGGTTGCATTCCCAACTGAACATGGGAATTTGAGGCAGGCTACAAACGGCCTTTCAGCAGCTACTTTGCTGAAGATCCTGTCTATCCAGATCACTTGTTTGAAGACACTTCCAAATGCAAAAACTTGCTTTTCTTGAAGATTGTTGAAGGTGTTCAATAACACAATGATTATTTTACACAGAAAGATGAATCCTTGGGTAGAAATGGATTACAATATCTGAAAAAAAAATCACATCAGCCATCACAATGCTTGAATATGGCAACACTACAACCACTGTGCTGTGCTACAAAAATCAACCTTTCAGTGCATTGTAGTGGTCATCCAATTTTTTAGACAGTTAAAAGCAATAGCATCAGCAGATTACTTGGCAAAAAGTCTGCTACTTGAAATATCTCCTGCATGTGGCACAGCAATTTTTTTATTTTGCTACTCAAATTGAGCATAGAAATTAAATAGTACAGCAGACAAGCTCATATTTAGCTCTATTAGCACTTTTTATTCCGAAAAGCATAGTGGAAAACTTGCTTTTGTGTAGAAAAAATAGTCAATGAGTGATAAGAGATGACATTATGATAGCATCTTTTTTTCTAATTTCTCTATCAAGCCTTAAAATTGAATGAGGCAAACAAGTGTAAGTTAAAAATAATGGTGTATTAGAAAAATAAAAAGAGCCTTAATAAATAATCACACGTTTTGACGCGGTTTTGGCTGCCCGCAGCACACACGTTTTCCGTGTTTAAACAGGGTTTTATAACTAAATTTTTTACCCTTATTTTTCAAGTTTTTTTCAAATTTTAAATTTTTTTCCACACTATGAAAGGTGGAGAATTTTATGGTCAAGTCCATTTATCATAAAAATGACTTTTATTATGGGCCTTAATAAAAAAACCCGCATTTTCCGCGTTTTGACGCGCTTTTGCTGCGGCACAGCACACGCGCAATCCGTGTTTAAACCCGCATTTTTAATTAATTTATTTTTGCCATTAATTTTAATTTTTTTTAAGTTTTTAAAATTGTTTCCTAGGTGAAAAAATGTGTAGAATTTAATGGTGAAGTCCATTTTCCAATAAAATGACTTTTGATTATTAATTTTTTTTTCCACTTATTTTTCAATTAATTGTTTACATACATGTTTCTACCTCATTTTTTATGCTTTTTTGAAATTTTAAGATTATTTCCTAAGTTACAATGTGTGTAGAATTTAATAGTGTAATCCAAATTTTTCAAAACTCAACGGTTCATTTTTAATACTGAAATTTGACATTTTTTTCACTTAAATTTCTACAGCTTAATTTTCATTATTTTTTGACATTTTAAATTCATTTCCCACACTTTAAGACATGAGTAAAATGATGGTAATAACCATTTTGCATAAAAACCAAAGAATGTTATTGAATACTGTGTTGGACATGTTTTTTTTAATGTTTTTTTGATTGGTTTTTACCGGCTGGATTTCAATCATTTTTCAAAATTTTAAATTCATTTCCTACATTTAACGATGTGTAGAACTGAATGGTGAATTCCAATTTCCATAAAAATACAAGCTTCAATTAATATACGTGAGTGTACCCCGTTTCTTGCATAATTTGTACTGTATACAAAATGTATTTGAATGCAAAATGGACACAGCCATCAATTTTGAAACCTTTCAAAGTGTAGGAAATGAGCTTAAAATTTCAAAAAATAAGGGTAATTAAGCGTGTAAGAATTAATTCAAAAAATACGTCAAAGGCAGTATTCAAGATACAGTTTTTATTTTGATGCAAATTTATTGTTTCCATCATGTTTACCATGTCTGAAAGTGTAGGAAACAAATTTAAAATGTCAAAAAATAATGAAAATTAAGCTGTTAAAAATCAATTGAAAAATATGACTAATTACAGTATTCAGAATGAACCATTGAGTTTTATGGAAATTGAATATTACCATTAAATTCTATACACTTTTAAATGTAGGAAAAAACTTTAAAATTTCAAAAAAGCATAGAAAATAAGGTACACACATGTATGCAAACAATTAAGTGAAAACGTGAAGGATTAATTATAAAATGTGTCAAATGCAGCATTCAAGGTATAGTTTTCATTTTGGGGAAAAATGGTTGTTACCATAATTTTTTACATGTCTCAAAGTGCAGGAGAAAATTTTAAAACGTCAAAAAATAATGAAAATTAACCTGTAGAAATTTAAGTGAAAAAAATGTCAAATTTCAGTATTAAAAATGAACCGTTGAGTTTTGAAAAATTCGGACTACACCATTAAATTCTACACACATTGAAACCTAGGAAATAAACTTAAAATTTCAAAAAAGCATAAAAAATGAGGTAGAAACATGTATGTAAACAATTAATTGAAAAATAAGTGGAAAAAAAAATTAATAATCAAAAGTCATTTTATTGGAAAATGGACTTCACCATTAAATTCTACACATTTTTTCACCTAGGAAACAATTTTAAAAACTTAAAAAAAATTAAAATTAATGGCAAAAATAAATAAATTAAAAATGCGGGTTTAAACACGGATTGCGCGTGTGCTGTGCCGCAGCAAAAGCGCGTCAAAACGCGGAAAATGCGGGTTTTTTTATTAAGGCCCTTTATTATTATTTTTTTTTCTCACTCATTTTTTCACTTAATTGTTTACATTAATGTTGGGTCTTAGTTAAACAACTCCCAAATATTGAAGTTCCAACTCCCAAATATTTGGGACGTCGCTAAGACCCCCTGCGGACGGTCTGCAGGCTGTCCACCCCCGGTGTGGTAGCTGAATGTGTAAAAATCCAAAGTTTTCTATTATTTCTTTTTTTATTCTTTTCTTTATCATTTTTCCTTATATTTCTACTCATCTACCACTCATTACAACTCAAAAACTGCATTTTACAGATCAGTTCACCCATGGTCACCACTGGAGGTATCTCTGTAACTCTACTGGCTTGGATGTTACACACCTCTGGATATGTACAACACTCAATTACACTCAATCAACCACACAGAACAACTACACAACACAAATTACACAAACACTTCACTACAGGACACAGGTAAACAGATTACACCATAATCTTGTGTCATGTGTACACCTTACACAGCTTGTCAGGTCATGTGTACAGCTCATGTGCGCAGCTTGACAGGTCATGTGATAATCTTCCTGCAGCTTGTCAGTCTAGTTGAAATACCTCATGCAGTCTGTATGACATCATGCAGATTGCTAGGCTAGCACAAACCCCTCATGTACACTGCCTCTTCTAGCTAAAATAACTCAAATCACATCATGTAGGCTGTACAACCAGCTAAAATACATCATTTGTACAGCTCTGACCAGCTAAAATCTCTCATTCTCTTGCTCCCTTGGAGCCAAAATCACTCATTGTTGTCTATTTAAGGAGGCTCTCCTCCCAGTTGTTTTTCCCCTCAGTTTAGTACCCACAAATCACATATCCCCTACCATTACATACCATACCATTAACATTACATACTGTAACAACCCTTACAAACACCCTATAACAACCCTTACACTTGTAATACACACTAAACTCACTCTCATACTCTCAAAACATCTTCTCTCATACAATTATATTGCAATCAAACAACTTATTCTCGAACCAACCACCCCTATCACTTGATTAAAACTTGCCAAGCTGAGCTTGGTGGGTCTTGTTATCTGATATTACTGAAGGGCAAAGCTTGCAACTCCACCATACCCTTCAACATTCAGCAAAAGGGTTCTCACAACCACTTTTGAGTCTTACACCGGAGATGGGAGTTGGACCTCCCAAACCTTTAACAGGTTTGGGAGTCAATCATCCCAAAAAAAAATAAAAAACCCCGGTGGTTTTTGGGAGTCAATCTTCAAAAACCCCCAGGGAGGTTGCAAGTTGGCGCCGGACTCTCAGAGGCGGAGAGGAATCACTCTCCGCGGTTGAGAGTGTATACTCTCCCGGTGAGAGTATACACTCTAATCGACCAAGAGGGATTCCTCTTGGCCGGTGAAAGAGTACACTCTCAGTACACTCTCATCAACCGAGAGGGATTCCTCTCGGCCGGTGAAAGAGTACACTCTCATGTACACTCTCACCGGCCAGGAGGAATCCCTCTCGGCCGCTGAGAGTGTATACTCTCACCGGCCAAGAGGAATCCCCTCTTGGCCGCTGAGA